TTCACAGTTTGAGTCCTTGGGAAGAGCCTTGAACATTTCTCCATATAGTCTGCCACTTTCTTTGCTGTTGCTCATTGTTTCAGTCATCACAATACCTGCTGGGATGGTGTATGTACATTTTAGGGGCGCAAATATTACCACCCACTCTTGCAAATGAGGATTTGTATTTGAAGGAGCAGACAACAGTGTGAAGTTCACAGTACGTCTGTTTCATGTACCAAACTCTCCTTTTTCAACTATGCCAATATAACACAGTATTCCATTTCATGGCACCTTTAATAACATATTCAAATTCTTAGAATTTCATAAATCTGTTACATGACAGCTTTGGTGACATTGTGATTTCTTTTTTTCAGCCCTTCAACGGCATGACGTTGTCACTTATACTGTAATGCAGCAAGCCAGAAGAGGTTCCAAGACTTCTAGAACTTCAATCACTAGATTGTATGAGGTCATCTTATTTTCCAGTAAATCTGTTTCATACTCAGTGCAGTTATGGTCCTGTTCAGGTCTCTCCAATGTATCTACACTGTACAGTAATTTCTGCTCTCTGGAGCCCCCACAAAATTCTATTTTCACCAGTGTACATGATCAATATAAAGTCAATATGTGTCAGAGCACCATATGTGATTCTGTCATGTGATATAAAATGTCATTATAGACATGACACGAATGTAGCAACATTCCCGTGTCACATCTCAAACAGTTTCTCTGACACTGCATTACGTACCCATGTGGAAAACCACCCTAGCCTGTGTGTTACTACAACAAACAACGAAACAGTCCATTCCAGGACAAAGTGATGCAGTTACCACTTATACCATGGCAACTTGCCAAGAGTTATACCTTTTTTGTAAAGAATATCTTATCTAAGTTTATCCTATAACCTTGTCATTTAATTCTTTATTATTACATTTAATTGTGTAATGTCCATAACAACTACACTCACCAAGCACTTTATTAGCAGCACCGGTACACCTACTCATTCATGCAATTATCTAATCAGCCAATCATGTGGCTGCAGCGCAGTACATAAAATCATGCAGATATGGGCCAGCAGCTTTAAGTGATGTTCACATCGGCCATCAGAATGGGGGAAAAAAGTTGAGGCTTCAGTGGACACAGGCCCACCGAAACTGGACAGCTGAGCCTGGTTTGATGAATCTTAATTTCTGCTGAGGCACAAGGAATTTGGTGCCAACAACATAAATCCATAAACCCAACTGCCTTGTGTCAAAGGTCCAGGCTGTTGGAGGTGGTGTAATGGTGTGGGGAATGTTTCCTTGGCACACTTTGGGCCCGTTATTGCCAACCAGTCATCGCTTAAATGCCACAGCCTATTTGACCATTCACTTTGTTTTAATGGTTACTTATAAGTTTAGGTCTTGATTTAAATATGTGCTAACTGAGGAATCAAGATTTCACATAAACGTATGTAGACACCTGAACATTACAACCATATGTACTTGTTGAACATTTCTTCTAAACACACAGGCACTAATATATGGTTTGTTCCCTCTTTGCTGCTATAACAGCATCCACTCTTCTAGGAAGACTTTCCTTTAGATTTTGAATCATAGCTGTGGGAATTTACTATTCAGCCACAAGAGCATTAGTGAGGTCAGGCACTGATGCTGGGCGATAAGCCTGGCTCGCAGTCAGCACTGCAATTCATCACAAAGATATTTGATGGGGTTGAGGTCAGTTCTCTGAACAGGCGGGTCAAGTTCTTCCACGTCAAACGTGGCCAACTATTTCTTCAAACAAACTCCACTGGCCCTAAGGGGCTCGAAAAACAGCCCCAGACCATTATTCCTCCTACGTCAAATTTTACAGTTGGAACTATGCATTCAGGCAGGTAGCATTCTTCTGTCATCTGCCAAACACAGATTCAACCTTGATCCAGAGAATGCACTTCCACTGTTCCAGAGTCCAGTGGCAGTGTGCTTTACACCACTTCAACTGATGCTTGGTATTGTGCATTGTGATCTTAGGTTAGACTGCTTGGCCATGGAAACCCAATCAATGAAGCTCCAGACAAACAGTTCTTGTGCTTACACTGCTTTTAGAGGCACTTTAAAACTTGGCAGTGAGTTCTGCCATCAAGGACTGATGATTTCTGTGCACACACTTTAACACTCAGCGGTCCCATTCTGTATGCTTGTGTGGCGTAACGCTTTGCAGCTGAGCTGATTTTGCTTGTAGACGTTTCAAATTCACAATAACAGCACTTATAATTGAACAGGGCAGCTCTACACAGGGCAGGTATTTGACAAACTGACTTGGTGGAAAGGGGGCATCCTATCTTCTTTAATGTGACGGCATGCTTGATTTAATGCACCCTTTAGCAATGAGTGTGGCTGAAATAGCCAAACACACTAATAATAAGAAGGAGTGTTCACAATCTTTTGGCCATGTAGTGTAGAAGGACTACAGATTAGAATAAGGGCATTTGATTTCCACCTTGCAGCCAACTGTGTGGTTGTTCAGAGTTGGATCAACTTCTTTTTGACTAATCAGAATAAAGAATTCAGTCACAGCATGGTGTAATCTAAAGTGCCCAAATGTGGCGTTAGTCAGTCACAGCAAAGCATGTCACTATGGTGACAAATTACCAGATGGTTACAGGCTATAATCAATTCTGATAAGGATTGTTACTTACATCAGCGTGGGATAACAATGCATTCCACTCACTGACAAAATATTCAAAGTTTGACAGTCTGTCCATGAATGTATGTAGAAGTATAATCAGGACTGAGCAAAATACTTAAAAAAAGTAATGATGGCTGGATGCTGATTACACAGTCCTAAATGTATTTGGTAATGTACACATTAAAAATAAATTTAGAATACATCTAGAATACATCTTGATAAGGCAGATGGGAAAAACTTTTTTCTTTTAATTAATTTCTTTCTGTTACTGGTTGGCAGTTTTCTACATGTAATTCTTCTGTTAATACGTTTCATTAAAAAGTCCACTGCTGCTTCCATAATTTCCCTGAGCAGGAGTCCAGTACAGCAAGGATGATAAGCTTATTACTCACAAACATGTCCACCTCTGAGATTATTAGTTTGATCATCTCTTAAAGAGCTCAGCAACACTGAGATTAATAACTGATCACATTGATTTATCAGTCTACTCAGGCTTTAGCAGGAGCTTCAGTATTTGTAAAGAAGCCATTAATCAAGGTCCTCTTTAGAATTCATCTAGTGAGCAGGTTTGCCACATATTATCAATAAATTAATTAATTAGTTAATAAGCAAGCATTGATAGTGTTTCTTTTGCAGATTGTGTTTTATTTAGGGAGTATTCTGAAAGTACCCTTCTAAAAATGTAAAAAGTAACTATTCTGAATACTGCCTTTACTAAATGTAACTCGGACTGAGTACAGATATTTAATTTCTATATTCTGAATACTTGTATTCCGTCACATCCCGATCTTGACTATAATGTAACTACTAGTATAAGGGTAAGCATCTATTCAGACCTGTACATCTACATTAGCTATCCAATGAACAGACCTAACAGAACAGAAGCTAAATTAATGCTTGCGTGGTGCAAGCTAGACAATACTGTACTGCAGGTTACCTTCATTAATGTTTTGGGTCTCCTTCTTGTGTCTCCTGCCCTTTGCATGACTGCTCTTTCTGGGAGCCCCTTAAAACATATCAAACACTTTCATACTTGAAACTGGCACAGCTTACCTAAAGCTCTTCCTTTAGATATTAATGAATTCCACACAGTCTTTAAAAGCCAGAGGTCGATGCCTTCCTAAAGAAAAAACATTATCCGCCCCACCACAAGCCAGAGGATTTTGTGGATGGAAATGTGTGTCCCAATTAAGAGTCTTTTGATTAAAAAGTGAGTTGAATTTACTGAGAAACAGAGGATTAGAGGATTATAGGTAATATTCTTACTACGCTGCATGTTCTGATAAACACATCCGTCTAAATTAAAATTAATAATCAACCCTAACCAGGCTCCGTTTAGTTGAATGAATCACTGATTGCTGTGGAGCAGTTTGCTTCATGTTTCTTTTAAGGCCTATAACCACACGTTGTTTTTTAAAATTAGAATGCATTGCAGGGTTTGATCACTCAAACACTTGTACACTGCACATAAACATAACTGTTATACAGCAGTTCTTACCTGATGAATTGCTTTCTGATGGGTTTTTAGGCTTATTCATGACTCCTGACTCAGTCCTGCACTCTTGTGCTTTGCTTTGGGAGAGATGGCTCTTGACGTTTGCGTTCTTCTGTGATAAGAGCTCTGTCTCTCGAGCTCGTCTCCATGCAATCATATAGCGTTACAGAGATGAGACAAGGTGACCCATAGATACAAGATAAGAGCTGAGCACAGGGCAACAAACAAAGCAGAGGAGGGCCTATAATACCAGTCACTAGCATTTATCTGTGTTTAACACACAAACACACACACACACAAAATCAAATACGTAAAAATCCAAATCAATATGAATTACTGTTACAGTGCCAGCATCTTCCGCAAGTTGGGGCTGTATGATATAGAGAGGTACAGAGATAATAACCCACATACTGACACATACTGACATGAAACAAGCACATATGTTAGTCTATTAAGAGAAAATGTGGCAACCCACATGCCTCCACAGCCACCTTTAAAACAGTAATATACCCATTTTAAAAAAATGCTGTAAATCCTTCTATAAGCTTAAGCAAACAGACCTGTAATTCTGTTTAATAGAACAGGGATCAACTCAAATGCAGTCCAGCTTTGACATGGCCATGGCTTTAAAATCTACTTTATTAAATTATTTGCTGAATGTCCCATAAGCACAAACACTCTCCCAGAAACCTTTTGGGTAGGATATAGGTGACTGAAAGAAACTTTTTCATCTCCTCTAAAATGGTCTGAAGCACTGTGGTCAAAGTCTACTGAAAGATTATTTTTTATTGAGAGTAATAAAATGAGTAGATCAAATTAAAAAAGAGGGGGAAAGCTGAATACAATAATAACTCTGGGAAAATAATAACAACAACTCTTATTAGGTATGTGTTTGTTTGTGTCAATGTTTTGACCCAGGGGCAATAGCATTATTAGACTATTTTCAACATTCCTTGCAGTGGTCTATGTCCTCTGAGTTAAATCCCAAACAGCCCCAGAGGGTCAGGTAACGACTAAATTAGGTAGTCCATAGATGATGAAGTTGAGAGCAGAGGGTGAACCCCAGCTTAGTACACTGTCCACATCAACAGGACACGTTGCCACTGGGGGAAAGAGAAAAAGGCATATGAGCACTGAAGGATTTGTAAAAAAAATGATAAATAATCTAGAATTTTATTATCAGCTGAGACACACTCATCAACTGAACACTGAAAACATTTGCACTCAACCACAGAAGCATTCTAACCTCTCTGGCTCAGAGCGTTTACTTCTCTTTCAGTAAGACGGGAGCTCCTCCTCAAAGTGTCGACAGACTGGCCAGATGACAGTCCTTCTTTCAGGAGATCTATATAAGAGGGATATACACACACATAAACACTCATTAAAAAGAAATTTCACCATTTTTTTTTAAATTTCAGCATAATTAAATCGCTAAGATGTAAAATATTCAGAGTGGTTTGATGCAAAATGCCCTGTTCTAGAAAAACATACCAAGTTTACAGAACTGTTCACAGTAATAGTGATTGGAATCAGATGTCTGAAGAGGTTAATACCTTAAAAGGTACCTCACAGAATGTAATTACATGAAATGGTTATAATACAATGCCTGGGAGATTGTTTTAGGAAAGTTTTTGTATAAAACCTTTTTTAAACCCATCCATGGTGGGGAGGTACATGAAGAGCAGTGTAAGACAAAATATTCCAAAATACAAAAACTAAACATTTCAAATTAAACTACTCTTCATGACTGTTTACATCTCAACCACTGAATCATGCAGAAATTTGTATAAAATTGAATAGAATCTGTTTGTGAACTTGATGCAAGTACGCCTTTTAAACTTTTAAGTATGGGTATGTGTGTCTGTGTGGGTGTGTGAAAGTGCCTTTGAGTTTCACTATGTGCGTGTGTTGGCATATGTATCTACCCCAACATGTAAAAGACCTACTCTCCATGATGACTTCCATATTTTGAGCGTTAGTCTTGGCGCTGCTGGACCACTGGTTGAGCATTACAGAATGAACTCCACAGAGAGTGAGCAGATACACACACTGTAACGGAGACTCCAGAGCCAAGAGGGCCTTACTGCATAGCCGAAACACAAGGACAGAGACAACGGGGTGATCAAGCCTGCTAGTGGGCATTTCATCATAACATATGTTACCAATTAACATTATACCAATTAAGAATGGAGCACATGTGCGCTCTATAAGCCTTAAGGAGTTAGTGACGGGTACTTGAAGTTATAAAATATTACACAGATGGCACAATGTGCATGTTCTCACCTTTTTTGGACATCCTGTTGAGACTGACGAAGCATACTAGTGTTGTTCTGAACCAGGTCAAAGAGGATAGCCATCTGGCATTCTGTAGAAGAAGTGTAGTGTAAACAACAGGGAGATACAGTGCAGGCAACCCTGAGCTTGTTTAAACTGTGCAACTTTGTACCACACTGTAAGTTAAAATTCATGCTGCATAACTACAATGACAAAGATGGTATGATCCATACTAAAGACTTCTTGCGTTCTTCTGTGCCGTATCCACCCATTTTCACAAAGCTTCTTAGAGTAGAAGTTCTAGTTCAGAATCAGATTCATGTCTTAATTATGATGATCTTATGGACAAGAACATATCCTAGATCAGTGCTCCTATTTTGGGATACACTGTGAATATGGGCCATGCTCTCCTGTTTTTTTTTTTTAAACCTAAGGCTACAAGGCTATGGCCTGCTCCAAAGCTTCTAAAGCCATGTAAAAACAATAATGAATGCAAAGTTGGTAGGCTACATGGGATAGTCCATGTGGTAAGATCAGTTGATAATAATGAACTAATTCGTAGAAAAATCTATAACTGGCAACATCTAGAGGCAAAATTGCCTGTCTACACAGTTTACCACAGTAAACACAAGTGTGTTAAGGCCTTTATGTTCTAAATGGAGAACTAACAAAACTGCTTGGGAGAGCAGTTCTGCTCTATTCCTCAGTGAAAATTCACAGCAAAAGCTTTTTTCATCTGATGGCCATTAAAATAATAGGGCCACAAGCTGCATCTTAACCTCAGGGTGAATGAAAACGCTTAAAATGTACAATAAGCCCTGTTCTGATTCTAGTGTGACTATCACAAGAGTATATTGCCAAAGGCCAAGAAGAGTCTACAGGGTAACATGACTAAAAGAACTTTGGATTTGTTTAGTTATCCATTGCTTACTGTTCAAGTACACAAGTCTCTTCCAAAATGGAGAGGAAAGTGCACTTTTCTGATGAGATACTTCTGTTAATTTGCCTGGGATCTTCCATTTTCACCGAGCATATATACGTGTGTAGAATGATGCAACTATGTTAGATGAATCCACTAAAAGGCCTGCTTTCACTCAGCTCAACTTCCAGGAATCTGCATCTGTATAACTTCCCTATTGAAAAATTATTCAAATGATTATGAGGCCAGCAGACTCTCTACAACATTTTAAATTGAAAGACACAGAGTTGCATACTAAAAAAGCTCACAAAAGTAAATAATCTAAAACAAGACCGTACAAGAGATGACCATGTTACTTTTGTTCTTTTTAATATTCCAATAGGGGGTCTCTTGTGTGTTGACTCTTCTATCTTCATGTCAATATCCACCAACGCAATATTAAAAAAAAAAAAAATTAAATCCCCTTCAAGCATTCCCCACAAAATGCTTTTGTCAATATCCACCTGAACTGAATGTTTAACTAAATAAGTTCAATAGAGTCTCAAATGTGCTCTGGCCAAACCTGTTTATCACCTATCTGCATCAACAGATGGTCTTCAACATGAATGTGGGAAAGTGATAGAATCCCTAAGACTTTATTATGGAGGTTTTCTAACACAAGGGTTTTTCTATGTATGCAATCTCAAGGCACATGAATGATTAATGTGCTTAAATAGCTTAATGTCTACTGCTCCATTTCATACTTATGTAAGTCTGGCAGGCCTATTTCACTTTTAATCAGAAATTTCCTTTTGATGCTATAAAATCACTCTGTTGTGTAAGAGGAAACCACTCCACATACTCTCAGGGCCTGTTCCATCTCCCAATTTAATGATAATATTATTTTCACTGCTGATCATGCGCAACTGAGTTGTAAAATGACTAAAATTCTAATAAATTAGTAAATTCATTTTTAAAATTAACTTTTATTCACTCACAACCACAGTCTCTGTGGGTGAACAGCTCTGTGTCTGTTCCATTTTAAAAATAGTTTGGTTGTTCCGATAAGGGCTTTGACATACTTGAGGGCACAGTTAACAAGGAAATCATACAAATTTACATGCTGTGATAGCCACAAATAGGACTTAACTGTTGTTTTGTGTCATTTCTCTGACAAAACAACAAGGAATAGGCCTTAAAAATATGACTGCTTACAATATATTAAAATGCATCCAGAATAACTGTTACATCATATGATATGAAAGCATGGGGCAGCTTTTATTTATACTCTATTAGACCACTTCAGCACTAATTTCACCACAGTAAACCTGATAATTTATAAGGAGTAAAAAAATGGGTAAAATACCTACATGCATTTAGCATTTGACTTGAAATACAGAGCTGGCATAATCTTCACAGACTGAAAGAAAAACAGAAGGGGACATACCGGTCAGGTTGAGGGTGACTAGCCTGGCAGGTGAAATGTGGGAGAGAAAGCGCTCTGTGCCATAGAAGATGAAAGAACTGCAGTTTGCCAGCAGAGGCTCCAGTTCTGCAGGACTGAAAGAGATCACCAGCATGATATAAATCGTTACAGAGAGCAAACATCAGAAAGGTGTGGTAAGTTTGGGTAAGTGGCAGTGCATGCTTGTGTGTGGCCAAAAGGTGAACCTTCACCTGCAGACATGCTCACTGTCAATGATCCCATCCCAGAGAGGTGTGAACTGCTGTGAGTACATCTCTAGAGTTTTCCTCATTCTCTCTGCTGGACTGCTCCATTCTGCAGGATGGAAAACCCATCAAACAATAGAATGAAATTCCACTTATTCCTGCCATTTACACACAATATGTATTACCATTCCCATAACAAATTAATGAAACGGGAATGTAGTTTATGATGCCGATCCAGAGGTGGATCTAGTTTTAACTGCCTGGCTTTTCTTGTTAGCTCGAACCAGCAGCAAATGTGGGCAGGACTTCTACTCTCTATACCTGAATTACCCATCTCTGCACAGATCAGTGGTTTTTAATCTTGGTCATGGAGAACCACTGCCTTGCATAGTTTACTGTTCCCCCAGTGGAACACACAGTTCAAATCAGGAAAAGTTTATTATTTATCTGATAAATGGAATCTGATGGGTGGAAAGAAAAATAAGGAAGAAATACACAATTAAAAGGACGACTTCACTGGCAAAATCTTTCCTGTAAGATCAGGCATTAGAGGGCAGATCACTAAAGCACCACTAACTAGACATGTACTGTCTTTTATGGAAAGTATTCATTTCATTTCGGGTAACGGTTTCCCCAACCCATTCACTAGTTAAGCTAAGATCAGCCTAGCACCCAATGATCTTCAGAGACCAGAAGTGGCCAAGCCCAGGAGACCCAGAACAGATTAAGAATTTTTCAGAATATAAAAATAAAAAGAAGAAATCAGATGAAATTTGTTTGTAGTTCATTGTACTTTTACTAACATTCATTATACATGACTTTATAGTCCAGCTTTGTACTGTAATGTTTGGAAGCAAATGAGAGTGAGGTTATTCTCTGTCCCTTCTTCTCTAAAATTTATTTAGAATCACCAGCTAAAGTCAACTGAATATTAACCAAACAACATACATACATTTTTATTATTAAGTAAAATAAAATAAAAAATGTAATAATAACAACAACAACATTCCAATCTGCCCTGAGAGGATGTCTGAATTGTGGAAACAACCAACTAACATCGACAAAAAAATAAAGCCCATTTAAGCCATCATGGTAAGAATCAACTAGATCCTTAACCTTCGTACAGAATAAAACAGTCCTTTCTTTGCACGTTTAAATTTTATTTAAACGTGCAAAGAAAGGACTGTTTTATTCTGTATGAAGGTTTTGTTGATATTCAATTCTGATAGAAAAAAATTTCAGTTTCCAGTTACCTCAGACAAAGGCACTCGGCTGGTCTCGAGAACAATTTCTAGTCCGGCTTACCCTGAGACCAAGACACGACTGAGTCCAAACAATGTTGAGACCGGTACAAGACTGAGACTCGATTTCTACAACACTACTTCAGACTGCATGCAGACATCAAAGCCAGGTAAGTACAAAATGGTTTAATAAAATGTTTGGGAAATGTTTTTCAAAGGGGAATTATCCATTTAAAATCTCCATGCAGAGTTTAGGCCCAAGTGCATGATGGTAGTTGAAGATAGGGAGGGTGGTGTGTCATGGTCAGACCCCACTCGACTGAGTTTTTCCAACAGAGCATTAATCATAGTGAGAGGTCTCCTGGGCTCAGGCAGTTTTCTGCAGTAAAACCACTGCACCACTGCAGGCACCTCACATAAAAGTGCTGCAGACATGGTACTATAAATCCAGCTAGGCGCAGGACTACCATTGTCCTATGACATTTTCAATTACAGCAAGGGCAAGAAGAGGTCAATCAACATAAACATGAGCCCAACTAAATCCATACAAGCTACTATTCTATTAGTCATTTAAGCTTCCAGTAGTTGTGTTCTTTACAGCCAGCACTGTCTGATGAGGCAGTCAGGACAGAATGAGATAGCATAAGGATTCCTAAACGAAATGTGCTTCATATATTCACAGTGGCAAAGTAATGGTATATAATTTAATGGAATGAATCACTTCATTGTAATTCCTCAGAGAAGTGTGTTCCATCAAGGCTTGCAAGAACAAAGAGTCCCTGAGGACTTGGATGAACAATCCAGCTAGTGGACTAGATCATTTGTGGTTTGTGTGGTTTGCACAAATGGCAGGAGCTTTAAGGGAATTCCTCATTAATGGGAGCTCAAATCTGTCCCCTGAGTCCAATACAATTGTCTATCATGATTGGAGGGAGGCTGTGTTTATAGTTCAAGCCAAACAATGATTTAAAAGGTTGGTCAAGCCTCTCAAAGTAGTAAAAAGCATGCTATCATGTGAGATCCCCAAGAATTTTTTAACTCTTCTTCAGAATCAGAATTATGCTGTTTGTTGCAGAGTGTTTGGTTGATGTGCTATGTGTAATGCATGGTTTCTGTCGTTGAACATCATCTCCAAAACCAAAAAAAAAAAGCCCTAAACCAAGCAGGATTAAGGACATCACGACCAGTACATGCAACCACACAATCAAAGTTCAGTTAAACTTTTCAGAGTCCTTAGTTTGAGCAAGTATGGGAGTAGATATAATCAATTTTCACATAGGTAAACTATGGTTCTTTCTGCAACATGTAATATTTACACACAGCTCATTATATAAAAAGTATAAACATTTTGCTTCAAATATCTCACTGGAGCATCAAGGGGACATTATGAACAACCCAAAATACATCAGTAATGGGCACATTACCATAAGTGATCTTTTCTTAGCCGTGAAGCATGAGTTCTGTTTATAGTGTTCCAGCAATTCTACAACATGTTGCAAATGAACATAAATGTACTGCCAGATTGTGAAAACAAATTCAGAACACTACTGAGGGATTATGTAAATTTATTTAATAACACCACAGTTTGTTATGTCTCTTAGAAATTACTGTAGAGTCATTAGAAACGAAAGAAACACTGAGATACAACTAATAGAACTAATAACAATGAATTAACTAATATTCAAAAAACTTTCTCAGGCATCGACAACACTCAAATTGTGAAGAAGGTTCTCATTCTCCCAGCTCTGAAATAGTTAAGGGCACCTCATAAATTTTACATCTCATGAAACTTCTCACTAATGATAAAAGGCTGACCTGGCAGACAAGCTGGACAACCTCTGGGTAGTTGATAGCAGTTACATAATATTAGCTCATATGTGGAGCATACTGGTTCTTAACAGCTTCACCAAGAAAAAAAAAAACTGATTGTACTTACCACAGTCTCCCCCATCATTGTGCAGATCAACAACATCTGAACATGTGTTAAAGAATTATTAATGGTGGATAAAACTGGAATTCATCTTCATTACCAAACTCAAATTACATAAACAGTACAGGCAAAAGTCAGAGACCATTCTTCTTCTGTATTTCAATTCCAGTCAGTGGTCATTAAGTACAGGATTTTGCAGATGTTTCTGAAGAGTTTAGAAATAAGATGATTCACTTGTACACTGAAAGATAAAGTCAAAGAAAAACAAATGAGCAAACAGGTGCTTCCAAACTTAGCCTCCAAAATTATTAAAGGATATAGCGAAAATGGGACTCCTAATAACCATGCAAGACCTGGCAGACCACCAAAACTGTCACCATCAGATCAACAGTACTTGAAACTTTTATGAGAGAGAGAAAATCAAGTTTCACTCTTGCTTCAGATTTTAAAAAATCCACAGGTGTTTCTGTTCATCCATCTACTGTGAAAAGACGACTCAATGCTATGGGTCTGAAAGGTTGCGTAGCCAAAAAAAAAAAAAAGAATGTTTGCAAATCAGTCAAAGAAACTGCTGGTGTTGTCGGAACAATGGACTGGCCACCCCAGACCTAGGCATCATTGAATGTGTTTGGGATTACTTGGATCATGAGAAGCGGAAAATGCAACTAACTTCTCAGACTGAACTTTGGAGATGTGATAGAACTTCCCTGAAGATTTCTTTGAAAACATGTGTCACAAAAAGAATGAAAGCTGTAATAAAGACATAGGGTGGAGACACTTAATAAATCTCATATATCGTTGTTGAGGCTTCTGTGTAAATTTCCGGTAAGTATCTGTGTTTTCTGCTTCTTTTTCCCCAATGCTGAAAAAAGAATGGGTTGCACTAAATAGCGATTATAAATAAATACTTACATAAAAATCAATAAAGGGTCTCTGACTTTTGCACAGTAGATCCTACAAGATTATCAGTCATGACAGCACAAAATAAAACTGTAAGAATCATGGAGCTGGATAGGTAACATGAGTAAGAAGAGTACTATAGCAAAATATGCTCCTGGAGCAAAAGAAGTTCAGGTACAACATGTCAAAATGACATAATGCCACAGTGAGCCCATAGAAAAGAGTGAGGATACATTTGAAGTTGTGTGTGTCCACCGGGAGAGTGTTTGGAGGTAAGATACGGTTTACTGGTACCTGCATGAGAAAAACCAATGACATTAATAATTACAACTTCCTCAAAGGCCAGGCATGTACGAAATTTCACCTATAAATTGAAATGACTGCAGACACACCGTAAGAGAATTAGCTAAACTCTTCAGCATTTGGGAGAAAGCAGAGAGAATGAGTTAGAATCTGAAAAGTAAAAAGGGCATCTAGCAGGAAGGTACAGACACAGGAAAGAGGCAAAGCGCGGGGATCCGTTCATGATGACAGGAAAGAAAAATGACTGGGCACCCAAACACACAGTATCATTAGGGAAAACAAATTATGTAACTGATTGAGAGAGGCTGAGTTAAAAGCAGAGGAAGGGTCAGTTAAATAATTGACTGCTGTGAGGACAGGTGAAAGTAATATTCCACTGCTCTATCAGCTGCTGCCAGATTCATTTAGTTGACTCACCACTTTGATGGCTTTGCTTTGATCTCCTTTCCCCTTGACTGGCTTTCCACCTTTGGTCTCCTTTTTATTGTCACTTTCAACTGTCATCAACAGGAAGTAGTGTTAGAACAGGAAATGACCATCTGACTGAGGATTTTAAATGACACAGCATTAGCCCTGTCTGAAACCAACAACTACAACAAACCCCAAATCTAACTCCACCTCTAAAACAGCAAATGACCTTTAGCTTCAGTGACTAAGTAAAAGTTTGTTTGTTGTTGTGCTGTAGTGCGTGCCAGCCAAGGCATTCATCTGCAAATTCAACAAAGAGCAGAGAATATTCACACATCAATGAGTCCAAAATTCATGTGGTATGGACTGAGGATGTGGGTGAATAAAGGGGAGAAGAAAAAGAACTTCAAATACTCACAGCACTTTGAAATAAAACATGAAGGAAAATGCACTGTGTCAACCAAAAACATTTCATTGCTAAAATAAGCTTTTTATTCCACACTGTAATTCATCCAGCAATTTTCAAGCAAAATACTGCATCGAATAACAAACAGCCCCTTCGGTGTGCAGCTCTGGGCCCTATGTCTTCCTGACATAATGGTAAACTATAGAAGTCAAAATTATGGTAATGGAGGTCCAAGGTAACAAAGTTAGTTTCTTCTGTTCCTAAAAGTATTCCCACAGCTGTTCTACTGAAGCAAAACATATCATGGATGTAAATGTATGCACTTATGTTTATAATTACAAGTCCACACATGTACACGTGCATGCATAAACACACACCCACTCTCAAACGCCTTGACATCAGCATTGCCTTTCTGTCCGATCTGCTGCTGCAGCAGGTGTTTGGTATTCACTCATGCACTTGACACATTCGTTTGAATCTAATCTGTGCTCACTGGGGGTGGTGAGGGGGTGAGGTGGTGGTGGGTTCACTAAATGATCCAACCTTTGGAAAAGCATGCATGATCACATTTGAATAAAAAAGTACAATATCATCCATTTGCATATATCATCTACAAGAACTTCCAAAGATGCTGGGGTGCAGAAGCTGACTAATAATCAGTAGTCTTCACATTTATTATAAATCTGATGTTTTTCTGTAGAAACAATTTATCTCCTATATTGCCATAATGCTCAAGGGGTATGGAAGTTATTAGAGAGACTGAACTCTGAGCATCCAGTTATACTGAACAGAGGGTGACAGGTTACATGTAGGGTTGTCAGGGCCAGAACGAGGGCAATGCTGAACAGCAATTGCCAAGAGTGTCAGCTAGAGGCACCATTCTGCTGCCAGTTTATGATGCCCTTTGTATTCTTAAGCTATAGACTATGGTATAATTAGTTGAATAACCTGTTAAAGAAGCTATACAAGTAAAATGAAGTGGTGCTCAAACCAGGTGTTGCGAGAAAAGAAAATGCTCGCCCTAAACAACAAAACCCCTCTAACTTCACACCCTAACAGTACTGTCATACACAAAATTCTGGGTACTCCTGGTCAAATTACACACTTTGTTAAATTTTTAAGCAAACATAAGTTAACACATCCTCTACAGAGAACATTGTAGCCTGTTCAAAACATTTTATTTTATTTTATTTTTTTTAAATATATTAAACTCAGCAAATTAATAGGAACTGTACACTAAATGAGCAGAAAAGGCTATATTATGGGTACTCTCTGTATAGGATATTTAACTTATTTTCTCTTAAAAGAAAAACAAAAAACAAAAAACAAAAAATGTAATTTGACCGAGGGTATTTTGGCATATGACTGTATGTACAGTCCTTTTTTCCCCTTATGTCCTTGAGAAATATAAATTTCTCCTGATTGGATGCTTCATTATTCATATAGCCTAACTTTGGACACTGGCCATAGTAAAACAGTTGTTGATGTTTTTAGCCTGTTATTGGATGGTGTCGATAGGGTAATATATTGTTATATTTTGGTACCAAGTGAAATGGCTTTGGTACCAAGTGAAAAATCCTCTACTTTGTGGAAGTGATTAGGGGTGGTACTCACAGATTTGCCTGGGGCATCAGACTGGCATGTATCAGCCCTGAGTATTGCAGGCCGGTCTCCCCTGATCCATCAGCTACATTCCACTTATAGTGCTTAATCATAATATTACCAAACCTTACTTTATTATAAGTGATGAATTCCAAAGATTAGGTCTATAATCATCCATGGTATAGGAATCCATGTTATTAAGTTTTGACAAAAAGTAAAAGCAGGACTCATGATGACCTAAATGCTGTGTTACCCTGTCACATAGAGCTGAAGAAGATAAACGTTTCCCTTGAGCTTCATCAACCCACAGCCTACCAATCACACTGAGCTCACACACCGTCTGGAGTCATGTAGTACAGCACCGTTTGGGTCCCAGATATACTCAGTGACCCAGTTAACAGTTATCTCTCTCTCTCTTACTATCTGATTATATGCAAGATTAAGTTAAAGTGTTGAAGGTGATGTAATGGTGCCAGAGTGGAGAAGCCACCCAGTATGTTTCAGATTAAGTGCACTAATAATGCTGTACTCATATCTTTAAAAGAATTAAGCCTACTCCTTTCTGTAATGCTTTCAATTAAGAGTTTTTTTTTAACCAGGTTTCATTCCTATTTACAGAAAATCATTTTAATTTCCTTTCAATAAATAGGACAAATATTTCCGCTTATTTTACCCAAATCTAATAGTACATTTCCCAATTCTCAGCCTTTGATGAGTCAAAGCGTACACTTCTCAAGTAAATGCGGGTGAGGACATTTCATTTTTAATTTGACAATTTACACGCACAAGGGGCACATGAGTCGGAAAGGAATAAATTAATTACACAAATAAAATTTAAAACCAGTCCTCCAGTCCCACATACACAGAGGCACATTTGAATTTTAAAAGAGATTATGAGGATGTAAATCCTGACTGTGCAATTCCTATTAGAGGACTCCCATTAGCATGGCATTTTTATTAGGGGCTTTGTGAACAAGGAGGTGGGAGGTAGAAAGATTAACAGGCTTCAGATGGAAATACCTCAGGATGCATTTAGACTTTCCTAAAATACTTCCTGACTTCTGCCACCCACAGTCATGATGTAAGATGTTCTTTTGCTTGTTCTTAATACAGTAAAGTCACAGTGAAGACTGACACTATACAAGTAACTAGCTTCAAACAAACTGGAATCTTTGGGGCATTTCTGTTAGCAAAGTCTGAGTGTAAATATGACAGCTTTGTCTAAGTGAGAGTCCTTCTTCTGTTTCAGACATAGCAGGGTGAAACCAAGATGCTAACCCATCTAATATGTAATAAATTTGCATGGATTCTTCTATAACCTGACATCTCCAACAGCAGTAGGGTTAGCCCTTAGGACAGCTAATCATACACAACACCCTAAAAGAGATTTCCAGTCAAACTCCAACTCACATATCATTATCACATGTGGAATATCACCTTCCCTAGAACATTCCACTTTCTGGGCATGTCTTGAGGTTGTAAAGTTTTGGAATCTCATACATTCTGTTTTACCTGATCTAATCAAAATTAACATATGTAATCCATGTTTATGTCCCACAAAATTACAATTCACATCTTGGTTTAACGTTAATACAAAGTACAATATTATTTGCTGGCTTTACTTCTGTAATGAAAACAATTTTACACAATTGGATTCATTTGCAATCATTCTGGATATTAAATGTATATAAAATTAATGAACCTTGAATGTACAAAAACACAACAGGTGATGCATGTACAACCCTGTTTCCAAAAGAGTTGGGATGCTGTGCAAAATGTACATAAAAACAGAAAGGAACGATGTGCAAATTATTTACACCCTATATTTAATTGTAAATAGTACAAAGACACCATATCAAATCTTGTAACTGAGAATGTTTTTTTAATATGCCCATTTTAAATTTTATGCCAGCAACATGTTTCAAAAAAGCTGAGACAGGGACAAAAAACACAGGTAATGCTAAAAACACATGGTTCAAACATCTCACAGGAGGGAAAAGGAGTCTTTCAGAAGTAAAGATGGGATGGGTCCCACCACTCTGTGAAAGACTGCGTGGGCAAATAGTGCAACAATTCAAAAATAACATTTCTCAGTGTAAAATAGCATAAATGATGGTACGTAACATAATTAAAAGATTCAGAGAATCCAGAGAAAATTCTGTACACAAGGGACAAGGCCAAAACTCAATACTGGCCGTGATCTTTGGGCCCTCAGGTGGCATTTCATTAACAGCAGATACGATTCTGTGGAAATTACTGCATGGGCTCAGCAAATACTTCTGAAAATGCAAGTTAAAACTCTACCATGAAAAGAAGGAACCATATATAAACAGCATCTAGAAATGTTGCTGCCTTCTCTGGGCACAAGTTCATTTATGATGGACTTGTGCCCAGTGGTCCGACAAATCAAATTTTGAAATTCTTTTTGAAAATCACAGACACTGTGTCCTCTGGTCTAAAGAAGAGAGGGACCATCCAGCTTGTTATCAGCACACAGTTTAAAAGACAGTATCTGGGATGGTATAGGGATGCATTAGTGCACATGGCATGGGTGACTTGCACATCTGTAAAGGCACCATTAATGCTGAATGATATATACAGGATTTGGAGAAACATGCTGCCATCCAGATGACGTCTTTTTCAGGGAAGCCCTTACTTATTTCAACAAAACCATGCCAAACCACATTCTGCACATTTTACAACAGCATGGCTCCATACTAAAAGAGCCTGGGTGCTAAACTGGCCTGCATGCAGTCCAGACCTGTCACCCACTGATAACACTTGGTACATGATGAAACAAAAAATTAACACCAAGGAGACCCTGAACTGTTGTGCAAGTGAAATTTCTAAATCAAACAAGAATGAAAAAAAAACACTTTTAAAATTACAGCAGTGTCTCCTTAGTTCCCAAACACTTGAGTGTTGTTAAAAGAACAGGTAATGTAACACAGTGGTAAACATGCCCTGTCTCAACTTTTTCGAAATGTGCTGCTGGCATCAAATTCGAAATGGGCATATATTTAAAAAAAAAAACAATAAAATTTCTCACTTTCAATATCTGATATGTTGTCTTTGTACTATTTTCAATTAAATACAGGGTTTAAATGATTTGCACATCATTGAATTCTGTTTTTATTTATATTTTGCCCAGCATCCCAACTTTTCTGGAAATGGGGTTATACTTGTGACCATTACTTTTTGTAATTTTTCCCTTGTTTTGTCTTGCTGATGTGACAAAACATTAGAGAAAAAAAAAGAAATCATGAAGGTTTACTACTCCAAATAAAGATAACAAATCATTAACTGGAGAAAAGCAAAATTCAATTAGTTTGGCTATTTTCAGGCATTCTGATTGTGACATCCATACATTTTTGTGGATCATTTTTAAATTATTTAGAATTTTTTTCTGATATTGCAGTTTTTGAGGTTTCTGATACTTTCTCTTTGTACTGCATTCAGGTCAACATAAAAAAAGAAAAAAAAAACTGCTGAGATTTTTAGTCATACTCTGCTAACTGTTTAATGTATTTAAGAGCCCATTTTCAGATGTGAAGCCCAGATATTGCTGAGTTTTGTCCTGAAACAGTGGAAGGATTTTGGACGGGATTACATCATCCATGTTCGAAGAGTATATCAGAGATTCTTGGTTTAAAACATCAAATACATCGTGCTCCCATGTTCCAAAGAGGGTCAGTGTAAAGAAGTGCTTTAGGGAGCTTTCAACGTGAAGCGCCTATGTATGGTGCTGCTGCCTTACCTGGCTGCTCTCTCTGGAGGCGTGTGTGGAAGACCTGCAGGGAGAAATCCCGGGACACTGAGCTGACTCCATCCCCCTGCAGAACTGCCAGAGCTTCTAATGGCATCTCCAGCAACATCCTGTCAGCTAACACTACCACACACTCACCCTGCTCTGCAGGTGATCCTACTGAACACACATGCATATACAAACAGTATGACATACAATCTCCCATGAGTGTGTTCATACAGGTACACATATGTGTAAACAGCAGGCAGGTTGTACAGTTAGCTTATTAAATTCCACTGATTTTTCAAAATTTCTGCATACTTAAGTGGTTAAGATGTATAATTCCTTCAGAGTGGTTTTCAGTGAAATGCTTCATTGCAGAGAAACATACTGAGTGAGAATTGTTTACAGCAGTGGTGATAAGAACTAGACATCTGAAGAATTTAATTCCTCTAAAAACTCCCTCACAGAAACTTATTACATGAAATATGTCCTGCCCGATGTCTGAGACATTGTTTTATGATAGTTTTGAGATAAGGTTTTGGCCTAAAAAGTATTTTTCAATTAATTCATGGAGGAGTGTTACATGCAGTGGTACATGCAGGGCGTTGTAAGGCAAAATAGTCCCCCTAAGAACATTATATATAAAAACTCAAAGACACTTGTAAGTTTACTGATCATTTTAAATGAAAATAAAGTAAACAACATGGCTATATTTGTGTTGTAGACATCAAGATCCCAGGTTCCTTTCACCACCACTATAAAGATGTGGGTCAGTAAGTTTCTCTACTATAAATTATTTCACATCAAACAACTTTGAAAGACTTTCTTTACATCTCAACCAGAAATTTTGAAAAATCAATGGAGAGCAATGGAGAGACTGGCATTTGAGAGTCTCATTCAGAGACTCTTCAGAGTCCATCACACAAACTATAAGATGTTTATACAGTTAGAATGAAACTCAGAATTGAACTCAAAACTGAACTACTCATGGAACAGTTCAATAAGTCTCACTGACACAGATGTCTCGTTTTGTCAACAAACATCTTTTCCTGCACACATAAAATATCAAAAAGCAATCTTCCCCTGCTCTGCTAAACCCAGAAAAGCAAGAGTAAAAATGTTCTTACTGCTTTGCACAAATTGAGATGTGACTTACAAAAACAAAATCAAAGAATATGACAAGTACACATAGTGTATGAATGCATAATCAGTGGATCTCTGCTAAACAAGCGGGGCTACTCAATCCTCAATCTAGAAAAAGCCACGAGATCAGCTTGCATTAATAGACACACGGTTAAAAAAACATGGCAGTTTTAATGCTTGACCCCACAGAGCCTGAACTGAACTGAAATGGGACTGTGTCTTCTCTAAGCATGTGTGTAATGGGGCTTTTACAGCCAGTGAGGTGACTACCAGGCAGAGCTTTATCTGCAGTCCCCCTCTCCTCCTTGTCTTTGGACCGGGCTGCCTCGCCGATGGATATCGATGGAGGGCGCTGGCTGAAAGAGAGCGATAAGAGCCAGGGAGGATCAGAGCGACAAAAGGAGGAATATTCCACTGACAAGAGGAAATGAAAAGGGAAAATGGGTCTTTGAGAGGAGTGGGGATAGGCAACCTTAGGGAATGTGAGGATTCGCTCAGGTCAACACACACATACATAGAACTATGTACTTTTTCTAAAGTAACTGATGTTTACTGAGGGCTACGCATCAATACAAGTACGCCATATCCAACGGCTGCCTGAGGAACCAAAAAATCTAATCCAAACAAACAGTGACACACATTCATCATCAAGAGCTTTAGATACACATGTTGTGAAAAGTCTGAGGACAGTCAGCTTCTTATTCGCTGTATGTGTCTATGTACCTAAAACAGGAGAAGTCAAACTGAGAGAGAACAGGATCCAGATAGTCATCCATTTCCTTCACTATGGCCTGCAAATGCAACCCCAACTCTCTGTCTGTGCTGTCATCCTGTACAGAAAGCATAAGAAAGAGATGTGGGGATAGGGCAGATAGAGATGGAGAGAGAGAGGGAGAGAGACAGAGATTATTTTAAAGTTATACAGTAAGAGAAATGGTTTCTTATGAGTGGTCCCATTGTCACAATAATCATAAGGACACACCACTAACAGTGTAAATAGTGCAGTTGCTTGTGCAAAAGTCAGAGACCACCCTTCATTTATTTGATTTCCAGTCAAAAAGGCCATTAAGGACAAATCATTCATTTTTCGTTTGGAAAAAAGCCAAAAACCTATATTTAACAGAAAATTACAAAAAAGCCTCCGTCACTAAATATAACATGTTCTTTTAATATTTAGGGTGTCCACACTTTGCCTTTATTATGGTTTCTGTTTGTCTTTGAGTAGACTTGCTTTCAATTTTTTCAAAGAAATCTCAAGGGATATTTTTCTGTGCTTCTTGTAAATACCTCCAAAGATCAGTCTTGAAATTGCATTTTATGCTTCTCACAATTAAACCTAATTACAAATTTAGATTGCAACACATCTCAGGTGTCCAGTTTCAGTGTTCTAGTGCAAATTTTATTCTTTTCTACATCCTTTCAGATGTAGAAATTAAAGGTTTAATACTGTTTATCTGATGGTGATGGTCTACCAGGTCTTGCACAGTCACATTTTCTCTATATCTTTTTCTGATTTTCAGAATTCCAGTTTTGAAAATTCCTGTTTTCACTTATTTTCTTTTAATTTTTCCATTTCCTATGTAAGTGGATAACCTTATCTAATCTAGTGTCTTTCTGAAGGGTAACAATGTCAGTGACACCTTTAAGAACATCTTTTGCTGGGAGGACAGAGCTGTAATTAAATTAAAGTGGCAATAGGATGCATAAAAGTAAAGAGTGGACTAATAAAATACTAATAGACTTGAAGTTATACTTAGTTTTGGAGGCTTTTCTAATTTTCAGTTAAATTTAAGTTTCCTCCTTTTTTCCTGTCACTGAAAAACTGCTGCTTTGACTGGAGATTAAATGAACAAAACCTTTGCACAGTACTATGAGTTTGTGCATAAGTACCAGCTGAGTGCAGTGTTCTTCTGGCATTGCATGTATGTGGCTGCGCGACTCTTCAAGCAGGGTTTGTGCTGCGAGGCATCTGAAGGCTTGCACTTGGTCTCGGAGCCGGAACAGGACAGAAGGCTGGACTCGAGCCTTGGCCACTCTGGAACAAGCTAACCCACCTGCGGCAGCACACAAACCGATCGTAAGATGCACACCAGACCATGCAGCTCAGAGCAGTAATAGGTCCCAGTGAGCCCCTCTCAGTTCACAAGACTGTGGATGAAACAGGACACTCTCCCCTCGCAGGCATTCAGCTTCCAATCAGCATCCTCAGAACCTTAGGCTGTTCTTTACGATGCTTGAACGGATGCATTTTCATTCTTTGCAAAAACTAAAAAATTTCTGAGCCTACACTCTGTTCAAATACACGTACACTTTCATACACATACGTATGCACGAGTACAATGTATTGGAGAAGGAGCTGAAGAGGTGACGGAGGAAATCCAGAAGGGAAGGCTGTTTTACCTGCGATCTGCATGCTCTTCCTTTTCTGACTTTCAGTGGCTTTTGTCTTCTCATAGAAAGCTCCATACAGCACTGAACTGCAAAAAAAAACATCTCAATGATTGCTTGGGGTGTAAGATATTAACATGGTAGAATTACACTCATCAGTATCTATTCATTACTACTGGGAAAGAAGACATCATGATCCCAGGTGCAAACAGAATCAGGAGAGTGTGATATAAGTATGTGTTTACTCACATGTGCAAGTACACTGTATAAACATGTCAGTGAAAACTGGCTGAATGCGTGACTGCATGGTGCAAGCTGTGCATCTTTATGACCCCACCAATACTGAGAACTACTGACAACACTGAGAGGGCTTAGAAAACTGCAAAGGATGTGCTGGGGAGCCTCAACAGATGATTAAAAGCTCCACTTGATTAGGCCTTATTAAAGAAATTGTATGTCAAAAATCTAATTTATGTGATTTTCACTTACCATTTTGAATAACCGGAATCACGTCTTTTCTTAGCACAATTTATTATTCCACACGAGATGACTTAAGACCAATTTTTTTTATATAAATGTGTTCGTGTAGCTTATCAATGTAATTTGAAACAACAATACGAAGATTTTGCCACGTGTTTGTGGAAACTGTTTGGGCGAATATTTACTTCCACTGCTTGTTAGCACTGTTAGCCTAGCAGCCCCAGTTCTAAACTAAAGAAGCAAAACACGTTAAAAAAAATTATAATTTATTATTATTATATTATTACTATTATTATAATTATATAATTTACATTTTTTGCCAAACTATTCCTTTAAATTTCCAAGCAAAGTACAACTTCAGCTATTTCATCAAAATTTTGCTTGTTTTACTGGAAAACTTGTTTACTTTCTGATGACGTGCTGCATGACCTTACCCATCTTCAGAGTGCTGCAGCAGCAGGATTTTGAGATTGGGTGGCATTTCTCCCAGCAAGCTCAGGTGGTTAGGGTTTATAGTCAAGTGCTGGTAGCCCTGGACAGATAAAGCACAAACACAGTTTGATCAGGCGTGAATCCTGGTACTCCTAAGTGCTCATCCAGATGGATAACTTCTCTAGACACATACTGTTGATGTAAGACCTGCTGTATAGTAAATGGGGGGCTGAAATAGTAATGTAAAAACACAGATTTCAGTTGACCTTTCTATGTTAAATGAAGCAAGGCACAGGAACAATGCAGTTTGGATGAACAAAACAGGATTAAGGCTTTGGAAAAATGTTATTCTTTTGTGTGGATCTGAGACCAGCTGTCCCTTATTAGACCGTTTCTCAATCCAGTCCTTGAGGCCCACCAGAGGGTCCACAATCTCACAGTCTCCCAGCTCCCAAAACACCTGAACCAAGCCATTAATGTGGAACAGGGGTACTGGGAACTAAGTCACAGCAAAAATGTGGACCATCTGGTAGGCCCAAGGACTGGGATGAGAAATAACGTATTAGACTATTAGACTATGCATCCTTGGCAGATAAAATGTTTTTTTCTCTTCTCAAAGTTACGTCCTCCCCAAAGTGTAATTTTCACAGTGTGAAAGTTCAGACAGCAGCACCTTGGAGAATGTGTGGAGTGAGTGGTCAATTGCTGAGAGGAGGAGTTGTGGAGAGGACTGAAGGGTCTTCTGCAGACCCAGCAGGGCAGCCAACTGAGAATGACCAGTGTCCGAACATGCAGCACGCAACATGCTGGACATATCAGCGCAGCACACACAGCTCTGAGACAGAAACAGGGAATGATTAGGACTGAACAGCTTGAAGTATTACAAATACAAACATGCATACAGTGTAACCCCCCCTGCCTCCAAAACTCTGTATGCAGGATCCAGATATACAGTGGCCCTCAAAAGTATTTGGACACATTAACTATTTGACTATTAGTAAATTTTAATGAAGTTCTTTAAGTTATTTCATAAAATATTTAACAAAATTAAATTTGTTCCAGAGCCCTGCGATGGACTGGCGACCTGTCCAGGGTGTATCCTGCCTTCCGCCCGATGACAGCTGGGATAGGCTCCAGCACCCCACCGCGACCCAGAAGGATAAGCGGTTTAGATGATGGATGGATGGAAATTTGTTTCAGAGAAAAGACTTTCAACAACATCAAACCAAAATTTGTGTGGAGAAAGCCTGGAGAAAAATTCCAACCAGACTGCACAAAGGCTACTGTAAAGAACAGATGTGAAAATGTCAAAGTCTGAGGCTTCTTTTCCTACAGTGGTGTCAGTGAGCTTGTGTTCTTGGACGGGATCATGAACTCAGAGGTACACAAAGACATTTTTGATACAAACTTGCAGAGGTCTGTAAAGAAACTGCTCAACTAATAACCATCTGAAACATACCAGCTGCCATATGAAAGAATACTGTGCCAAAAAGAATTACAGTGTTGGAACGGTCTGTTTAAAATAAATGCCACTTGGTTTGACATTTTGGGCCAGATTTACAGAACTTGGCGGTAACAGATTTACACCATGCTTGTGCGGCATGGTAAATAAAACTCATTCATAAAGTCACTGTGGTGGCGATTAGCACATCTTGGTCTGTTTAACGCAGCAGTATTTTTTTAACAATGTCCTAGGCAAGAGCCAATCAAATTTGACATGTAAATGAGGATATATATATATATTAATGACCCATGCCAGGATAAGCTCTGGTTGGCTGCCAAAATGGATACAATGAAGGAAACAAAAACAAAGAAAACGAAAATTCATAAACAGAGCTACAAATCTGAAGTGTGGAAGGGCTGGCAATTAATGGTAAATTGTTCAGTAATGATTCAGCAAAAATTAAACAACAGAAAAAAATATATGAGACACTTGCGGAACATATAAACATGGTGGCAAATGTAGCACAAAGTAATGCAGACTGTCAAAAGCGAAGCAAAAAAAGAAAGAAAAAGCTTTCAGATATTACCAGCATTTCCAGCAAACATCCATGGCAAAACAGCTTCTTACTATTGTGTGTGTTATGAAACGTTAACACTACACCAAATGAAGCAAAAACGCTACCACCACATTTAAATGAAGCAAACATATGGCCACACGTCTCTAACACCATGTTATTTGCGCTTAACATCGCTGTAAATCTGGCAGCGCGTATTAGGAATCTGGTCCTTTTTTCCCCCAACACAAATGAATATAATTTTAAGTATGACACAAGTGTCCAAATAGTTTTGGGTCTGCTGTAAATATATCAGAGACCTAAATAGCACTCCTGAAACCACCGCTCTGGCAGCGCATATTCTCCCAGGATTCTTAACATAATGCCTCTTTCATATGAAAATAAAAATAAAAACCCAAAGCCTGAGTCCATAATATACTGTGACTTGTGGTATGTTATGTCTTGGTTATGCATGCAACAGTGTTTTTTAAAAATTGTACTCATCAAAGACAGTGTTACCTAGAAGTGTGTTCTAGAGAATCCAACATATTAGAAATCATTTACAAAGTCAGTTATTCAATTAAATAATGGTTAGGTAGCCTAGATTTACACAGATATCTACACATGCCACAACTTTTAATCCAAAAATTGGGTATTGTTGCAGGAAACCGCAGCACATTTTTACATTATGTCCATAGACAACCACTTATTTTACAGTGCAGAACGGGAGTATCAGTATAGCAGCCAAGTGGCTTCTCATCGCTATGTACAAAATGACATCATCTAATATCTAGGTGCTTAATCTGTGTATCTATGATAGAGATAGAATGAGGAATGCTGCTGCAAAGCCCTGGGATGCCAATGTAAGGCAATGAAAAGATCCACATACTGTGATGTGATTTAATGGCTTAAGTCATCAACTTTGCAAACATGAAGCCCTCACAGGCAAAACCCTGATGGATTAAGCCATTAAATTAAATTGCACAGGGTGATATATATGACACTCTTCATTCTCTGACAAAAGCACACACTCTCACCTGCAGCAGAGCAAGGTACTGGCCACAGACTGCTGGGTCATACTGGCTGTAGCATTCCATCAAGTCCACACAGACCTGAGAGAGTACCTGGGGGAAGTTGTGCTGCAGAGCCAAGCTCAGAGCCTGAGCCAGAGTCTCACTCGCCTGGGCCAGCTTCTGCTGCACTGCCCTCCTATTTGTCTGCAGACAAGCAAACACAATCAACCATGAGACTGCATGTCCTGATGAGTGCCTGTAGCGGTGCTTGTGTGTGTGTGCGTGCATATCTGTGTGTAAATGTGATAATCTGAACACATCAATATCATCCACCACCATTAAGTGCCAGAATGACAAAAACGTGTCTGGAATTCCTGCTGATATGCTGAGATGAGATGTGTTTTTTAAGCAATAACCTTATTCTGTCTTGCTGAGAGTAAAACTACTCAGCTGAAGGAGGAGTATTACATGGCTTGCTGTATATAAAACAAGTCTATTTATCTACAGTTTTCTATTCAGAGATACCCAAATTGCCATCATACATAATTCTTATGTGTATGACAGAATATAATACAATCATTGCACAAAAACAACAAACATATGTACTCTTAAAGTGGCAGGTTAGAGATATACAGGTTATCGTAGCCACAATACTGCAGGAAAACAACCATTAGTAAGGTTAGAATTTAATCCAGTGGTTCTCAAATCAGTCCTCAGGGCCTCCCAGACCATCCATATTTTTGCTCTGTCCCTACGCACTGCAAGTTAGGGTGGAGCAAAAATGTGGACCATGTGGTGGGGCCTGAGGTCTGGTTTGAGAACCACAGAGTAAATCCATTCTGTAGTTTTATAAATTCTTCATAACGTAGGCCTCCTAAGCCTTCAGGCCTAATGATTTCTGTGTAAAATTATATGTCTGTAATTTCAATTTATATTTATTTTTATTAATTAGAATCACCATGCTTGATGTTTTTAAACTCTTTAAGCATTGTAGTAATACTTATTTCATTGATAAGTTTTGGGTGAAAATGAAAGAGTTAAATTAAAAAACCCAATGGAAAATTGTCCAATCAGTTTTCTCTGTGGCATCTCGGTAGATTGAGCCAAGCTAGCTCTCCCACTGGTTAGGACTTCACGAGCCGGACTGAAGGCCTAACGTGTCACAGAGGAATCATTCAATCATTCATTGATTGACAATAGGTGGCACCATTTTCATGAGAAAAATGGTCACTCTAGGCCTTCTGAAGTCTTAGATATGTCACTGATCACAAGTACGAGATGTAGCCTGACCAGTGCATTTCAGGCAGCAACTCTATGCTCTATTTTTTTAGAAAAAGCAACTGTAAAGCTGCTATTTGTGTGTTAAGAAGTCTATTACAAGCTTCAAATAAAATATGGAAAGTATTTTACAAGCTTCAACTATCCATGTTTAACCTATAACGACCAAGAATTGCCAATAATAGCTTAGCGCTAACATACTACTACAATCTTAGAGAAAATAATATTATCATAGAGCTGTTTTTTTCACTTGTTTTAACTGGATTCTGACATTTATAGCCTAAACTGAAGGCCTAGCTCTAATGGACATGGTTTGCTACTGGTGTGTGCATGTTTTGGGGGGACTACCCTACCTGCAGTTCAACACTTTTGGCAGTGCTCTCTCCATTCTGTATTGTGCTTCCATCCACTCCTTCCATGCTTGCCTCTTCCTCATCTTCATCGTCATCCTCATTTGCCTTTCTCTCTTCTCTGTTCTCCACCTGATGCAGCACAGAAACATTATCAAGTCTCTCTAACTAATCAAAATTAATCAACAATCTATCTGTAGTTTTAATCTGACTTATGTTCACTGCACTTAATACATGGACTAAAGTGTTACAAAGCATAAAATTCAGATAGACAGACAGACAGACAGACAGGCAGATAGACTACACACGTATTAAAATAACAAACATGGACAGAAGTATCCAGCTGTCAGCAAAAATATTATACTACAGACCTTTCTCATTGCCTCATGCTAAATATTAATGAAAACATATACTGGGCTGTTGGGAATATTGCGTTTGTACTCTTGAAGTCTGTATTGCTGCTGCACATGTGGATGCTGTACCATGACTGGTCCATCCCACATAGGAATGGTGTAGAGTGGGTCTCTCTGCAGCGCTATCAATCTCAGACACCTTCCCAGCATGCCAATGGAGCGTGCTTTGGTCTCTATGCAGTCCAGTGAGAGAGAGTTGATCACAGACAGCTGAGTCAAAGCCATCTGACCCAGGGACTGAGTCACAGTCAGCCACTCCTACAAGATTAATAGAGAAGACTCAGTAAAACCTAAAACCAAAAAAGTTACATACTGATTACTGCATACTGCTACTCACACTGTAGTGCAGTGGTCTTTTACCCTGGTCCTGGAGAGCTACTTTTCTGCAGAGTTTAGTTATAACCTGTACCCAGTCTTGTATATCCAGTGCATACCTGTCTTGATCCTCGTATCAATTATTTTCAACAGTTAAATAGTTCTGTGAAAATTTGCACTTGAACACACCGCGAAGACTACAGCTGATGGTCAATCCACACATACTTAAAAAGCCAGTGCAACAGGGGACAACTCTTTGTAGCAAGAACTGGTAATAGTCTGTAAAACTATCAAACTGCATCATACAAAGTGAATAATACATTTTTTTTAATGTCATACAGGGTAAAATGTCCATGTTTAAGCTAAACCTAGTGTTTTAAAATGAAACTGAGTCAGGAGGGAAAAAAGCATGATAAAATATGATGTCTGTATGCTGCTGTGAGTCACCTTGCAAAAAGTTTTAGTTTTAAAAGTCAGAGGCCTCATGTCGGATTTCACAGGACACATCACACAAACTTTGTTTGACAGTCCATCACTGACGCTTATCGGTGACCTGACAGCATTCGACGGCTAATAATCAGCTTGGTGTATCATCGTCCTGACTTGTGCACCTGCAGCACCAACATTTACTAGAACTAAACAACAGACATCTTTGTCTACATTCTCTCTTACACCAAACAGAGATTTGGTAGTGCTGGGAGTCTAAGGGAGTATAAGCATCGATTGCAGCCTGTTCTAGAGCATTCAGGTCTGACCTGTTCTAGAGCACTCAGGTCTGTGTTGCTCAAGATGTAGTCCTCCACAGCTCTCTCAATGTAGCTCTTCCTGCTACGGAGTCTCGCTTGAAGCATCTCCTCCTCACACTGCATCTCCAGCATCAGCAGAGCCAGATTAACCAAAGCCAACCTGAAGTCCACACACACACGCATTGCGGGCAGGCTATACCGCCCACACTGGAAACACACACACCATGTTAATACATTAACAGCACTCAGAACTTTAAGAAAAAACGTTGTATGCAAACTTTTTTTTTTGTGGGGAACAAAAACATAATTAGGGTTAGATGACTCTCATAAGGGGCACAGTCCCATGAAACTTCGATATAAGCACGGGCATACACACTTACAACAGAAAGAAAGAGAGAGAGACACAGAGAGAGCGCAAGTGATGAGCGAGAGAGAGAGAGAGAGAGAGAGAGAGAGAGAGAGAGAGAGAGAGAGAGAGAGAGACTAAGAAATTCTCCCCAGAAAAGTGGGTTACAACAACCTGCAAGTCATGAATGATTCAACAGAGTATGCAAGGTAGAAGAGAAAAGGAGGAGAGCCGATGAACAAATGAAAGCAATCTTTTGGGAATCTCACATTTGAGCCATCAGCACAAACCCTGAAAAGAAATCTGTGAACAGCCCCCCTGTGGTCCACTGCAAAGCATTTTTATTGTTTTAACATTCACTTTTCCCCCAATTTATCTTTCACAGCGCTTAGGAGTAGAATGAATGACAGGTAGGTACACTGATCAAAGACAAATTTCACTCAGTGGTACAGTGCAGGTTATATCTCTGTCCTTTTTCTGTAAAATACACACATTCTTACAGATATTAAACTCATCTAACAATGTCATCAGTCTTGAATCTGTAGAGTGCACCACGTTTATTGCTTTTGCTGGGAAACCAGCACCATCTGCTGTAGGTAGAGACCTATAGCTTATCCAAGCTATGGAGAGTAGCATTGAGACTTGGTAATTTGCTGGATAAGTGGTACTTAAATAAAAAGAGGCCTTTAATTTTTGATTCTTCTGGTAATGTGTAGCCATCACGTATCTGTTTCTTGAATGTGCGTACAAACTTTGGGTCAATTGGGTTAGCGTTATAGTTCTGTCTGATTTGTCTTCATCTTATCTGATTTGTCTTCATCTTATCTTTCATCTTATCAAGAGTTTTTGTGCCAAATGAAATTACAAGAGTGTAAACAGAGCAGGAGTCTAATTGCTTTAGTAATTCAGACTTCCCCAAATAGCATGAGCGTTAATTTCCCCATTTTATAAACATGAACACCCAGTGTGCTTTATAATGAAATAATCTGGTTGTGAAAATGAAACTCCAGAGTGCAACATGAGGTAAAATAAATTACTAAGGCTGTTTAGTGGAGTTGATACAATACTGTGGTGCGCTTGTCCAAAAGGGCACATAGACACAAGGTAGCCTCACGCTGGGCCAAATAAACAAACTCAGGGTCGAGCCAAATCTCATTTTACCAATCTTACAACAGCTTGTCGCAAACACTGTGAAGACATGATGAAAAATAAGTTATGTTTTCTGCAACATAATGCTTATCTGGTCAGCAGGCATGTAGCCTGTTAAGCTAATTATGACCAGACTGTGAGGCAGGGACGTAAATAATACAGAATTTTCAATGGCATGCTGACTCTATCACAGCCTGCTGATTTCACTGGTTCATGTTATGACTGTAGTCTGCTTTTCAACACTGGTAGCCTTCATTTCATTATTCAAGGAAACAAAATGATTTTCTCTCATGATGAAATGCAAGGTGCTCAGTTTTTATGTATTGACCTAAACTGCATTGAAATTGATTTCGGAAATTGAGACCTAAGTGAGGTCTCTATGAATTACAGGCATGTTATGATTTTTTAACTTAGTTTGCTTGTAACTTACTGTATACCATTTATTTCTGAAGATATTTACTTGTAGATGCACAGAGTTTAAGGTTACTTTCATTTACTAATGAACTTACTAATAAACATGCTGGTGTTGTTTGATGACTGGTGCTAGCTGTTTAATGTTCAAACAATGCAATTGCATTCAATGCCTTAATTAATAGAATGTCTATTCTCCACAATACATTGTCACAAACCTCCACAAAATGTTGTATTTTTGATATTACAGTAACACAATGCACTGTTACACCCTAGTTCTTATGGTTTGCAAATAATAACCAACATTGTTACTTTATCACTTTGCCATTCAGACACCACATAGTGCACTGCAAACGTTTAGCCTCCAGTGCCTTTACACGCTTAAATTATGGAAAAGATACCTCATGAGTTGGGAGAAGCTTAAGGCAATGGGAAAGCACTTCCTCCTGCAGGGACACAGCCTGCTGCATAAGCATGAGGGCCTCGAGTAGGTGCTGCTGTTTCTCTTCTTTGACGGAAGTAAGCATGGCCAGCATTCTTCACAAAATAAAAAACAGAGACAAGGTAAATGATGGATGTACAAAAACATTCTCAAACGATCTCAACACCTTGGTTATCTTCCTTAGCATATGGAATGACTGCACTGTATGTATCTCATACATTATTCATCACTCAATTTACAGCATATTTCCAGTATAATGAAAAGCACATAGTGTTTCTTAAAAGACCAAAGAGCAATAATTATGCTCCAGATGTGTGAGGTGTACCTCAGAGAGCTTGCCTGCTCTAGAGTTGTCTCAGCAGCGGGGGTTCTGTAGCCATGCTGGAGTAGAGCTGCAGCACTGTGTTTCAGAGTGTCACAAACTGACTTCAGTCTCTCCACCGTTTTGACCCGGTCAGCACAAGCAGGCCTAAGTGTAGAGCGACACAGCACTGCACCTCTACAAGACAACACCAAGACACAAGACTTAGTGCAAGATATCCACTTCTGCTAGAAAATGTGTGAACGTTACTGAAAATGAGACAGAATAAACAAATAAAAAAAACACACACACACACACACACACACACACACACACACATGCAACCTACTTGGCCTGCAGTGATGCAATGTAGAAATAGAGAACAGGAGCTCGATTCGGTCTCTGCTCCAGAGCTGATTTGAGAAGGCCGATGGCTCTGTCTACTATCTGGCACACCTACAGAGAAGAAACCATTTACAATAACTCTCTCCTACAGAATCTTCGCATCAAACACAGATGGAACATAGATGGAAAAAACAAACACAGATGGAACATTCTATATAAGTGGTTCAACCTGTTGAAAAAATGTCACAGTGCATTTCCTTTTCCTCCAGAAATTCCATTCTGTTTGCTACCTTTGTTTAGTGAAAGTAGATGGTTAAAAAATATTCTGGTTCCAGCAACTGTGTAGAATTGGAAGAAACAAAGCCAATGTTTACACTGGGACCTCTAAAGGTACAATAAAGCAACTGCTCTGGCAATTTATGATGAACACTTCTTGATCTATTTAACTGTTCTGTAAGTTATCCTTCCAAAATAAAATACTTTGTAAGACAAAGACCTTTTCAGACTGTGCTAAATAAATGTTACCTGTCTATGTTTAATCAAATAAATATTATTTTAATGTATTATTTTGATTCATATATTAATAATTTTATTTTTTTAAGTACATGAACTATGACATTATATAACTAATGTTTTACAATATTTCTCGGAGAATTAGATGTGATGTTAAAGACCTCTTTGCTATGAGGTTACTTTCAACAGTTACTGTGCTTAGGCTACACTCACACTGCAAGTCGCAACGTTTCAGATTTGACCCAATCCATTGCGTGGGTAAGTGACTCTTACCTGTCATTAATGTCAGTGTGAACCTATACCCTGAAATGATACACATTAGCACATCCCACTGAATAAACCATATGTCATGAGCAACAACAAACAAACTAGTAAAAACAAGCCATGATCGTGAAGATGCTCTGAGCAGCTCTCAGCTGGGCAAAAAAGGGCAGATGTTTTTGCAGCATATGCTGGTATTCACTTCAAGCTAGGCTCTGCTGCCACATTAACAATCAATGGTGGTGCACGTGCAGTAAAAAAAATTCATAAATTATCACCTTTAACACCAAAGTAAACAGAATGCGTTTTTGTTATCCGTATATAATTATGAGAGCGGAAAAGCATCTGCCAAATGTTGATGAGCAGGTGAGAGGATAAACAAGGAAACTAAAGACAAAGGGTACACAAGCCTAAAATTATCCAAAAACCAAGAGCATTCTTGCAATCTGGGCAGATGAAAGTGCCCAAGCTTGTCAACTCGTCATATTAAGGGAAAAAGCTAACAAAAGTAAAACAGAAACTGCGTACATGTCAATGTGCTTTTTACCCGGGAAAGTAGAATTGGATTTTATCTGGACACACTGGGGACCAGGGATTTTAGTGAACAGTGTAAGTGTAATCCGGCCAAACTTTATCCAGATATAATCTGGACACAAACCACTGGTTAATGCAAGGTGTAAACAAGCTCAAAGTGGCTCAGATCTGATTTGTGAGAAAACATCACACCTGTGGCACATTAAAAATGAGAAAACTCAGATTTGTGCCACTTTAGCCACGTGAACGTAGTCTTAGAGTCCAGTTTTACATCCATAGTCAAAGTGGTGCAACTGAGTTTTTGTCCAGCAGATGGCGCTATAGCACTAAACCTATAAATTGCTTGCATTTATAACTCAAAGGTGGAACACAAAACCAGTTTCAAACCAAAGAATATACACATGCTTTGTGCTAAAAGTTATTTTGCACGTGAATACACAAGACTCATTTTACTGCATCTGTGTTTTAACAACGATCTTTAATACTGGGCATGTAGACCAGTATTTCACATTCACGTTCACTTTTTTTAAGCTTCTACACATTAACAAGTTCTCTTCTGATAGTTGTGTGTTTTACTGCCATCCAGAAAGGCTGCCTAATCATTGCAGATGAATAAAATCTTTATGATCCATTTAAAATCCTTTCAGATGAAAACAAAAAAGAACAAAAAAACATAGTATCTGTATAAATGAATAAAATGAACCTGGGTGTACATGTCCTCTCCCGCACACTCGGCTGTGGTGTTCAGGAGGCTTTGAGTGAGGTGGAACCAGAAATCCTCATCCCCACCTATCTCCTCAGCCTGCTTCAATAAAGCAAGGGCTTGAACATGATGCTGCTCCTGACTGACCAGAAAAGCCAACAAGTGGTAACTCCTAGCAAATGACGTCTGGTCTCCAAGTCCCTGGAAGTACACAGGCATATATAGCATGAGTACAATGATCAGCCATAACATTAAAACCATCTTCTTGTTTCTACACACACTGTCCATTTTATCAGCTTCACTTAGTATATAGACGCACTTCATAGTTCTACAATTACAGACTGTAGTCCATCTGTTAGCCCCCTTGCATCCTGTTCTTCAATGGTCAGGACCCCCACAGGTCCACCACAGAGCAGGTATTATTTGGGTGGTGAATAAGTCTCAGCACTGCCGTGACACTGATGTGGTGGAGACAGCAGCTCATCTGTTGCTGCACAGTTTGTGTTAGTCATCCAGTAGTCCTTCATCAATAATCACAGGATTCTGTTGGCTGGATATTTTTGGTTGGTGGACTATTCTCAGTCCAGCAGTGACACTGAGTCTGATCCACAACAAGCCACCACCACATCAGTGTCACTGGAGTGGTGAGAATGATCCACCACCTAAATAATATCTACTCTGTGGCGGTCCTGGGGAACCTGACCATTGAAGAACAGAGTGAAAGGGGGCTAACAATGTACGCAGAGAAACAGATGTAAATTATGTAGAATTACAAAGTGCTCCCAAAAGGTACGTGGAGCTGATAAAATGGACAATGTTTGTAGAAACAAGGAGGTGGCTCTGATGTTATGGCTGATCGGTGTATGACATGAATGAGTCACTGATATAGAGGAACCTGACTGCCAGCTGACTCTGTGCACTTCTGGATAAAATTCAGGACATGTGTGCACAGCACTTTCTTCCCTGATGCTTAATCTTTACCAGCCAACAGAACTCTGCATGAACACTTGTGAGTGTCCTCTCTCACCTTGGCCACCAGGTGAGCCTCAGCCAGCAGGCTCCTGGCAGGCTGGTACAGACCCATACTGAGACACACAGCAGCCTTGTCCAGCCACAGCTCCTGCACAGAGCACCAGCCCCACCTCTTCCTGGACACACTGCCTACAGATGCAGTGCTCCCACTGTGAGGAGGCAGCAGCTGAAGAGTGGAGACATGTTAGCTACTGTATTGCTTTGATTTACACAGGAAAGTCACAGAGAGTAGGAAGCAGCAGGGGAGGCTGATAATTCCAATTCACCAATGCCCTTTACAGTAATGTGTTTTGCAACAAACTAACCTCATCTGTCTTGCTGATTTTACTCTCTGACTCATATTCATTTCTTTCTCTCTGGAGAGCAATTCTGCTTCGACACCTAAGATCAAATAAAAGGTATTATACATCAACATTTATTGATCTATAACATGCAGTAAATACTAACATATTAACCAAGGTTATCCACATTAACCTAAATACATCTACATCTAAATGCACACAGCTTGCATGCTAATCAATAGCTTAGCTCAGTATCTGAAGGATATGCTTTAGTTTCACATAAGCCAACCTAACCAACACACAAGAACGCCTATTTTGATACTGCTGATTTTTCTACTGCACATCTCAGTTCCCTTTTTATTCTGAAACCCACTGTCATACTCCATTGAATATGAATACCAGGGCCGTTACTGAGTTGTCCCTGTAGATTTTAACAATGTGGTATGCTATATACCAATACTATGACATAAAAAACACATCTCTTACGCCATCTGCTCATCTTCAGGAACAAAAGCGAAGCTCAGTAATGATTCTCTGAATGGTGATGAAGACTCAAGTCCCAGGTCGCAACAGGTCTTCACTATCCTGAAATACATGAAAAGCTCTAAGGTAATCTACTACTGTACAGGCTTTGTACAGTGGTAAAACACACTATGGGGAGGAACAGAGATACAAGCATACGTGAACCTAGGGCAAAAGTGAAAGCAGGACGTTTACTCATCTTTTATCACGATTTATGATATTATTACAATATTGTATTAGAAAAAAAACACTACATGTTTGAGATAATAAATGTACATATAGTCGCATGCCAAAATTCGAGTGCCCCTGGTCAAATGACATGTTTTAAATGAAAATAAATGAAAATAAGATGCATCTGGACAGTTTTATTTACAACGGTTTGTTTTCTGAATTTTAATATATTGGGGAAAAAATAAAACACAAAATGTGGCCTGTGCAAACATTATGGCACATTTTATACTTTGTTTTTTTTTTATATTAAACTTAAATACATGGAAACTGTGCACTAAAATTTGCAGAAAAAGGAAACACTTAAAGAATGTGTTAACTTATTTTCACTTAAAGAATCAATAAAAAAGAGAGTATTCAAACTTTTGCATACAACTGTCTGTGTAGAGTTCTGAATGTCATTTTTGAAAGCAGTAATTTGTCAGTGACAATTTATTAAGAAAAAAATGATTAAAAAAATGGTGGCACTTTATGTCATGGTAGTCTTTGGTAACTTCTGTTTTTCATTTTTTTCCAATTTTAAAATGTAAAAACTTCTGAAGTATGATATGATACCAAAATGACCTCCAGTAATCTTCCACAGGCCATGGAACAACAGATGTTATGATAATATGATGGTAACAAGTTGTATGTATCCATTAATTAAATGCTTGTTTTCTAGTTCCTAATAAATAATTGGTGAGCAATTGTAGCAGTAATAAGTTGATAATAAAATGATTAAATAACAGTGACAAGTTGTTTTTACCAAAAAATTACATGCACATCTGTTGAGAAGTTAGCATATATTTTTTAGGTAAGTACTTGTTACTATGATTTTACAAAACACTGTATCTGTGCTACACTTTGTCCACTCCCACTTGAGTCAGGCATCTGCTAAGGTTACTCAATAAGAAAAATGTGCAGACCTTTGATGTAAGCTACAGGTAACTGTCCTAGCTAGCACAGTGTAGCATTTAGCAGTTGCTTTTTTTTGTTTGGTGGTTTAACATAAGTGATAAATTGACAATTTTCTAGATTATTTGTTTGATTATTATTATTATTTTTTTTTTTACAATGCTTTAGTTTCTGTGCTAGCTTCCAAAAGTTCTGTATTAACTTGTCATTAGGCTTCCATGGATACTTTCTTAAGTAGTGTCGAATAGTACGTATTGAAAAGATAGAAGCTTAATAAGCATGTGCAGCGACTGATGTTTCATTGACCAAAAAGTAACACAAGAGGAGGAAACCTCTCCCAAAAGTGAAAGGTTTGAAAGACACTGACTCAAGGCCCAGTCCAAGTGTCCAATGTTTAGAGACACTGATGCGAAATTCGAATTAGAATAGGACAATGCAGAGTGACCCAATATCTATGGCATACAACTGTATCTGCTGTCTGTAGAGCTGGCAAAACCAGCTCTCTGTACCTGAGGCGGTAAAGGTCGGAGTGACTCTTGCTGAGTGAGAGGTCATGAGCAATGACCTCAGCCAAGTGCAGAGGAGGCAGTGTTAGTGGGGTCAGAGATACAGACTCCAGCTCTCTCACTAGGACATCCAGATAGAACAGAGTTCGGCTCTGTGAGCATGCAAAGACACAGACATAGCATTTATGCACAATGTATTTAAACGTTTAGTCCACAAAATTCTTAAAACAACAAAAAAGCAGACAATGCAACAGCCACATCTGTTTCTATGTAAAGCCCTGTGAATCTCTACAGTTGGTTTTCTATCCACCACTTTTTTGCTAATTTTGAAAATGCACATAAAAAACCTGGATGTAAAAGCTAGAAATTCCCAAGAATGCCTAAATTTTGCAAAAGAAGTTTTTATGTCTGGATGATGCGAAAAGATGGACTACTGATAAAAGTGAAATGTGAAAAGTGGTAATGGTAAATAGATTTTTGACATAGCGGAAACAAAAGTCACTTCTTTGGCACTATGTTCTATCTGAACTATTTGTTCCAGTGGGATTCACAGGGTGGGTGATGGTGTAGTTAAATGGGCTTCTGCCTGCTCTACTGTGTCCAGCGTCTCTGAACTGTTAGAGTACAGCTGACAGAAGACTATCAAAACTGCCCTACCGAAGGAAAATAAAAAGGTTGCGATCCCTCCACTTTATACACCATGACTCTTGGGTGCTAATGGTATCCACCTAGACATGTGCAGGCTGTTGCACGTCAACGTGGTTTCCACTCAAGGTTTATGAGCAGAACATGATCTGGTGTATGTCGCTTTTACTGCGTGAAAGCTCTGGCTCAGTCAGCTAAGGTGCATCATATCACAACAAATGTCAGATGGGAAATCACAGCAAAGGTAAAATTGAAATATACTTTCTGAATCCACAAGTTACAATTTCCTCAATAAGGACAGCTACAAAATCTTTTAACTTGTTTTTGAGTCACTATTTTGCATGTTGAACATCCCTATGCTGCATTTTGAGCCTCTCAGGTCCTTTTTTATTTATTTATTCCTAAACCAATGACAACAAAAACATGTGGTAGGAAGCTCCACTCATAGCTAGATGGCAGCACTGCCATTTTTTTCTAAAACAGCAGGCAGAGATTGGGATTACAGTCGTGTAAACTTATACACAGGAATAGATTTATGAATAAATTTGTGTTCATCTGTATAATATTTTCTTTGGTGCAGTCTGTCCATTGTCTTTAAAACATGTTGAATTGCATTCATCCATAAACTTGCTAGTTCTGATCAAATCAGTGGGACAAGAGATCATGGTCATTTTTCTGTGGGGTGATTCAACTTCATCACATTCAGTTCAGCAAATCAATTGAGCATGTACCTGTCTTTGTCTCTCAGCAGAGTAAAACTGCCTCCACTTTCACGCTGACTGAGCATAAAGGTCAATATCCACACTTCACCCACAAGTAAGCTAACTGAAACTCAGAGATCACAGTAGGGATCGATGCAAGGTTTTTCTACTATGCTGGATCTTTGATTATATGTGTCAGGGAACAGAGTAAAAGACTGGGACCAACTAATGACTGACAGCATGTAGAGAGTGCATCACCTCCTAGTGGAGACCACTGACCTGCACACTGATGCTGTGCCTGTTGATGGAGTAAGGGCCACTGTCATGTCTGAAAGCTTGGCGGACCTCCTCAGAACATTCGAACTGAGCCCACTCCTCTGGGCTGGAAGGCGGGAAGGAGTCTGAAACCGGGCCTCTGGGCTTTTTCTCAACAAGAGGGGGCTGGACGGGATGGAGAGAGGGGGGCATTTTCCAAGACTGATGTGTGCAGAAGCAAGGCTTAAATTGTTATAATTTATACATTTATGTTTGCTTATTTTAGTTTGGGGATTAATAACGTTTAACAGTTTTTAAAAACAGGCATTGCGTAGGTAAGGGCCAAACCTCTTTTGACTTTTTGCCTTTCTCCTTTTCTTTCTCTTTTTCCTTGTCTTTTTTGTTGCTGGCTGCTGACGCAGGTGGAGCCATGACAGCAGGATTCCTCAGCTCCTCTTTAATGACTTCCTGTGCTGATTCCATGGACACCTGAATTAAAGGCATATGTGGAGAAGTTAAATTCATTTAAGTGATGCACCTTGAAAGCTTTTGTAATTTAACAAAGCAAACCATGCTGTTTTCATTGATTTAATGTCTTCAATTGGTACACTATGCTAGCAGCAACCCGAATATTTACCATTATAGTAAAGTATCGTAACATTATTAGTCCAATCTGTAAGCAGCTGAACCCAATGGGCACAGTGGATTTTAAAGGGCCCCAATCCCACCATTTTTGGTATTTTATTTCTTTCCCCTTGCACTTATAATGTTTGTATGTTTTGGTTGTAGCAAAAACCACTTTTTTTACATAAATTTTCCAATCTCTCTCTTCACCCCTCTCTCTTTTTTTCATGATGTGGGCCCTTTAAATGAAACAATGACTATCAGGTTACTTTTCTGTTTCTCAGCACCATGTATCCCGACTTGGCTGGTCTGAAGCTTATTCGGGCCCATTCCATCAGCTTCTCAAGCCCTCGGAGAGTCCACCTGCAACCAACCTGAGACTGACTAAGTTGTGACTGTCAGGTCATCTATGAATGCCCTGATGGGTGGTTGGCATTGGGCAGATTTTGTCTTTGGCCCTACATTCTGGTTCAGCCAACGTTTTGCGAAGTTCCTCCCCAGGGAGAACACGATCACTGAGACTGTGCACCCTGTGATCCTCCCAACCTTGATCTTGTTCCAGCTGATGTAACTGCTCCAGAGAAGACTCTCAGCCTGAAGTTACTACAATAGTCGGCTATGAGAGCTCTAATTCTGCTGGGGACGTGATGTTTGACCAGTGTGAGCTGCACTGCCTTGTGCGGTACAGAGCCATATACATTCACTAATGTCAAGCCACAGCACTGACAGGTTATCCTTGTTCTCCCTGGCCTCTCTGATAAGCTTTGTGACCACTCCTGCGTGTTCCAAACATTCTGAGATGCCTGAATGCCACCCTTTTTGGACTGATGTGTCAATAAAGCTGTTCATTAAGAAGAAGCTACAGAGATGGCTGAAGATGACACTGAAGAAGTTCTCCTCCTTTGGGATCCAGACACCTTCGGAAACTCATCACTGGTCCGGAATCTTGCCCCTTCTCCAGATTACTCGCAGGATCTCCCACAGGCACACAAAAAGTTTTGAACAGTTCTTGTAAACCTTGTTTCAGGTGCTGTTAGGTCTTTGCAGAACCCACTCTTGCTTTCTGGGTGACCTCCTGAACTTTGCTCAGCTGCAGCTTTGACATATCAAACTGCACGTTTGGTTCAGGATGGTTGATCGTGGTGCTGCACTCTCCTAGCTCCTGCTTTCTTGTTGGATTGCGGCATGTTTGCTTCAGGAAATGGTCTAGTTCTTTTTGTAAGCATACCAGCCTGCAACTGCGTTTTTGTCCTAACAGCTCTTTGTGAAATTGTAAGGGTTGGCTATGAATGTAGCCCGCTTATGGGCTCTTTCGCGGCGATGCCTCCAACGCCACTCTGATCGATGTAGCACAATGATCGTCTTCTTCAGGATGCATGTCAGTTGGGTCAGGGCTTTGCACTCTGCCTCCCCTGCTTGCTTTTACTGGCACCTTAGGGTCTTCAGCTCCTATCTGATTCTTCAAGTAAGGGCCCCCATCAGTTTTCCCTTGCTCTTCTCCAAATCTTTCAGAGGCAAGGTTCACAGTGATTGCTGTCACAGCTCGAGGTTTTCTGTCAAAATCTCCCCTACGATTGCATAGCAAGTCTGTTCTACATCATTGTCTAGCTGGTTCCACAGTGATGCCTTGTTAGCCGCTGGCCATTGGATCCTTTCCCTCTTGGACTTGATGCTAAGGTGAGTTATTTGCAGCACTTAGGGTTCTGCACACTGTGGGGTGACTCCCAGCCTGGCTCATCCTGCATCTCACCAGGATTATGCTTCCCTGTGTGCTGTGCCACTCCTGTATTCACTAAAAGCCTCATCGTAGATGGATGGATCTTTAAGCCCCATCCATTCTTACAGATCTTGCCACAAATACAATGCTTGCTCATTGTCCTTCGGGTATTTCAATATCATACACCCTCCTCCAGGCAACCTTTAAATAATTTAGACTTTTCCAAAAAGGTCAACTAATGTCCGACATCTGCTGTCCAGCTGAATATATTCTAACAAAATTAGTGTTCAGTTAAATTAATGAATTAAAACTTTATGCTGGTCAGTGTGAACAGCAAGGAGAGACAACTTTATAGGAAATATGCATTCACAGTAGAGGCGGGAGCAAAAATATCGTATCATGATACTATCGTGACATTTTCACGATAAACCATATTTTGTTTTTCTGAGGTTTGATAAGTGGAAACAGAAAAAAGCACCAATAGTGCCACATTAAAAAAATTGAGCAGAATCATTTTTGAATCAAGTTTTACATTGTTTCCACTGAAACAGAAGTAATCATGCTCTCAATAAGTACTGACAATATCCATGATATGCACAGAAAGGGGTATTGTAATATAATTGATGACAACAAAATAATGTTACCATTGCCCACCCCTAATTTGCAGTATCTAAATCTTTAGTGGGCGTGCTAAAAATAGTAAACTACTACTATGTACAAAAGCAGATGAAAAAGTGCAAAACCAAATTACTAACCAAATGTACTTTTTACCTAAACATGGAATGATCGAACAATAACAAAACTGAAACTAAATGAAAACAAAGAAAGGTGTTCCAAAAATATGAATAGGCCATGCACCACAGTGCAAGACTTACTGCTTACAGTTAAGCTGCCAAATGCATTGTGCACGCCTTTATACCCTATGAGCGATTACAAAAATAACTACAGTTGTCACTGTACCAGGCTAAGCAGTGAAGATTAAATGAGAAGAATCTGCATCATTCCATATACAAGAGTAACAAACGCCTTTTAAGTACTGTAAACAAACAACACGCTTTAATGACAGCAGCTATACTTTTGGGGAAAATCACTTTTGCACTCAAGCTCAGAGATCACTGCAGTGCAATCACCCATAAACCTTACTAAAGAAACTGGAAAATCTTAAAATGGGGTGTGTAAAATGGGGAATGCTGAATAAAAATATTTCTATAGGGTTCTCTAAAATTAAAACTAACATTCCATACATTTCAAATCCAATGTGCTGCTGGAGTAAAGAATAAAAACAAAACTGTGTCACTCTCCAGTTACTTATGGACTGCACTGTACATCATGAACACAAAAAAGAAAAGCTGACACTCCTTAGAGTCTTGTGTCTTCACCTTCCAGATCTGCAGCACAGAGGAATACGCCAGGAGCAGGTACTGCTGGTGCTGAGGGGTTACTCTGGACTCAATGAAAGCCAGCAGCGTATGTGCTCTCACTAGGCCGTCGAGACGCCACACTTCCCTCAGCTCAGATAGACAGCTGACTGGAATCACCCCTTCTGGCTGCCCAGAGGTCTCTAACAGGAACAAATATGCTATTAGAGACAAGTAAGAGACAGAGTAGATACGAAACTGAGAATGTTCAAATTAATTTCTGGATTACCAACAAAGAATGCTCCGTAAAGAGGATTAAGGTATTACATTTCATTGCAAGAATCTATGAATCTAGTTACTGAACTTGTTTCAGCAAGCTTCAGTTTGTCTCTCTGCACACTGATTCAGCTATACTCCAGGCCACCAAAAGATCCACATCATGAGAACTTTCACATGATTTTCACATCTGCATGTGTATTAGCCTGTATTATCTCAATAAATAGATTAGCTAGGTTACCAAGGCTCTGGGTCATGTTAGTAGTGGCGGAGAGAAGGATGTCTATGGCACTCTGAATCTGCGTCTGTGCATCAACCACAGGAAAATTACTACAGTACAGCCATTCCCCAAATTCCAGCAGAAAATCCACCTTCTGCCGCTGACTACTGGCACTCTAGAAAGAGACAATACAATGTAAACATCATATGCTTGCACAATGTTAATAATAAATAATATACACCTCAACGCAAGGGTACTATAGTCTACACCTGTTTGAGTTAACTGTATGTAGTCCACATGAATGTCCAGCAGGTGTCATTACATAAATGCACATGTTGCAATGCAAATTCTCTAAACTGTGGCCAAGTCACGTTTTCAAATGAAGATCTTTGAATCACAAGGCTACATTTGAGATTTGGATATATGTTTAAACGATAATTGTATGTTACATATGATGATATTTTCTACCCCTAGAACTGGAACAGAAAATGCTACAGAGGCTATTTCCTAGTATACCAAATTTTCAGTACTTTTTTGTAAACACAATGTATTTAAACATAGTAAAAGTAGCTCTGCCAATTCAAAATAAAAGTTACATGGAACGTTTCAGCCTGGACTGCTTTTTATCAGAACAAAGGTCATCAATCTTATCAGTCCTATCAGTTCTACCAGTGCTATCGTTCTTACAGGCACAGTAACAAAAACAGCTTGACTAATAAATATGTAGTGTGTGCAATATAATCAATACTTCATGTGCAGTACTCTGTGTGCAATATCCCATGTTCAATACATGTGAAATTTTCTTATAGTGTAAAGATTTTTTTGCTTTCCTATTTATGTTTACATTGTTAATTCATCACCATACCCATGTGCCATATAATCAACACATCTTGTGCACTACTCCACGTGCAATATTCCACGTACAATATGTAAAAAAATATTCTTATAGTGTACAGATTTCTTTGCTTTTCTATTCATGTTTTATATTGTTAATTTTGTGAAGGAGAAAGTTGATTTTTTTCATCTTCAGTATTATATATATTGTCTATATAGTAATAAGTAACAAACTGTAACCGTGTTAAGTAATTAACAAGGTTAATTACCTTTTTTATTCATTCTCTTTGTGTTACTTCTTTTCTTGAGTGCCTTGCTATCCCTGCTGTAGCACTGTGGATTTCCCCACTGTGGGACTAATAAAGGATTATCTTATCTTAATTCTAAATAAACTGAGATTACAAAATGTTCATGTAAAAAAGAACTATAATTGGCACATATGCCTGTGTAAACATCATTAGTGGACCAATATTCTACATCTCCATTTCTATCAATTCTCATTATTTGACATAATTGAAAAACAACAGCTGCCTTTACACTGTGGTCAAATTTCGTGCTGAACAGTCAAGTAGAAATGGCCCAGACTTGCATGGAATGAAATCTCTTCACATTAAGTTAGACTGAAAGCTAAGAATGTTTTTTCCTTCTCCTATACAGCTACCATGTTGGAGATACAAGGTTTTTTGCCTGAGAGTGAGGACATGATGGTATTTTCTATGCACCTTTAGGGTGCTGATGGCATTCTGGTAGCAGGCCAACTGTTGCTGTGTGTCTTCGACGCAGAGAGCCACGCGATGCCACATCAGAGCACAGGCCTGCTCTCCCTCTTCTTTAAACCTCTGCATATCCAGCACAATACTCTCTCCTAGCTTAGCCTTCGCCAGCACCCGCTGCTTATAAAGGAGTCTGCACACACACACACACACACACACACGTATAAAAAACAGTCATGCAAGTAAAGACATACATGAGCAGAATATGACGCAGACACAAGCACAGCGCTGTCTGGCTTGACATTTCTGTTTGTCCCTGTCTTTTCTGTTGTTTATCAACCATATGTCCCTGTAGGTACTAAGCACATTCCTACACCTACTGTACACATATGTTAATAAAAATACATTATAAGAATATCCCTTTGACTTGTATTTGCCCTGGTCATATGAACTCACAGTCTCTGTGGGCTGCGGGGCATCTCTCTGATGGCCCGGTCCAGGATCTGCAGGCCACTCTTCCAACTACCACTGTCAGTATAGATATTAAATAGTACACTGTACATAGCTGCCCTCACTGCCAGGTCATCTTCAGCCTTACCTATAGAAAGAGAGAGAGAGAGAGAAGCCGTGAAGGATCGTAAGAAAAACAGAGTGAATGTGTGTTTGAGGTTATAGCTCACAAACTCACAATTATTCTTCTGGCTGAAAACTGCCGTATTACTTCTGCCCCATTTATTTTGAGATCTCACAAAATAATGCATACTTTGCAGCAGCACCCCCCCACCCCCCCGCCCCCCATACCCCCACCCCCCATACCCCCACCCCCAAACCGGGGGTCATGCCTGTCCACCAGCATTAACACTCAGCAGCCTCAGGTGTCATTTGAATACCGCAGGCAGAGCAGGGCTGAGAGCAGACGAGTGAGCAAGAATGGACAGGAGAGCGAGAGCGGCAGGCAGAAGAAGGTAGGGGGAAGGGCAGAAACATGGGAAGAGGGGGGTCGTAAGGAAGGAACAATTGTTTGCTTGTCGCCCCGGTTGGTGTGAGGCACAGCTCTCTAAATCTTTCAGCTCCTCCCCCAGCTTTTGTTGATGTGGCAACAAGACGTGGTACTTCCTGCTTAAAGTCACATGCTCCTTCTTCCCTTTCATGTCAGCATTGGTGGTTCAGTGGTAGAATTCTCGCCTGCCACGCGGGAGGCCCGGGTTCGATTCCCGGCCAATGCAGTCAACTTTTTTTGTTTTTTGGTGTTTGTGCTATTACACAGGAGACACTGCCCATGTGTTACAAAAATCATTTAAGACATTTAATATTTAACTTTACTTTTGAAACAATGAAGGAAAGCAATAAACTGTGGTTTTCTCTGAAGAACGTGACCACCACAACACACTGTGGTGACTGCTTTCAGTCTCTTTTCCACATGACTGGATATGACATATACACTTCTACTCACTGTCTGTTTCCAGCGCTGAGGTCAAAGGCTCTGTTCGCGTTTCCTTCTCACGTCTTTCCTGTTTACAGAGTAAAAGTATCTTTTATGCTGCCTTTTACATTATTGTTATACTAATGCACAATGCAACAACATCTGAAGGCTCATAAATTCAGTTACAAACTATTAATCTTGGGCAATGGGAAGTGGGTGCTAATAAAACCAACACTAAAATACTTGCTCTTTAATGCTTAACTTTGAAGTTTTGCAATTACAATTTAGCAGATTATTTAATAGTGCAAAATCTACATAACCATTCTGATCTGTTGCAAATTATTAAGCAAGATGGATGTGATCTGCACTAGCATATAATTACTATATAATTAAACAGGGAGTTTAGCAACTTTTAAGCTAAGGGAAAAGCCATTGCTCTTACAGTGCCTGTTTGAGGGCAGGTGTTGGTCAGGGCCTTCACAATGAGCTCCAGTGGTTCTTTGAGCTGCTGTCTCTGCTCAGGACTGGTTAGAAGAGGAAGGCAGGCATTCCAGTAGTGCTTGGCTGCAGACCCACACAGAGACCAGCTACCTGCCTGTTCAGCAAGGCTACAAACATAGCATAACACAGTGGAGGATCTAATAACTGTATGTTAATGAATAGAGTGTAAACCACAAGAGAAGCATGGAGAAAAGGCTGTGATAACAGATTGTGCACTGACATCTTATTAAATACTAATTAAGTTGTTTCTTTTCTGGTCCAAATTTTAATTCAGTTTAATCAAGGTTTATTGCGATTATACATGTACACTGTATAACAAAATGTCATGTACATATAACAGACAGCTACAATGTAATACTGTTTCTCCCAATGCCCCAAACATAGCTATAAAAATACAGTCGTATGCAAAATTTTGACCCTGGTTACAAAAAAATTGTTTTATTGATTTTCTAAGCGTTGTTTTTTTGAAAATAAGTACACATCTGTTACAGAAAATACACTTCTGCACATTGTAATGCACAACTACTATTTATTTACTGTATGTAACATAATGGGAAAAAAACATAAAATGTGCATTTTATATGTATAATATATATTTATATATATTGTTTGTCTTTTTTCCTATCTTAAACAAATAAATTGGCAGCAAATAAACACAAATTGTGCACTTAATTTGCCAATAAAAATGCCATATCTAAGTTTATTCCCTGTAGAGAATGTGTGAATGTGGTGTGCTCAAACATTTCCATGCAACTGTATTTGTCAGTATAAGGATATAAATTGCTCTTAGTACAAGGATTGAGATGGACTGAGCAGACAGACCTGATGCTAGACTGGAGCATGGCGAGCGCTGCTGTATAGCTTGCAGGATTGCCAACACACTTGTGGAGCATACTCAGTCCTCTTAAACATGCAGAGCTGCTAAGCATCTCCTTCACTGTTCTCACACTGTACCTTCACACATATAAAGTCATTTTAGTTTACAATCAATTGCATTACTCAAAATGAATCAGTGTTTTAACTAAAAACATCTTTAAATAGCTGGTGTATTAAGATAATGATGCGCTATCTGGCTCTTCATGACTTGGATAATCTGTAGAATTTAAATACTGCTATAACATAAACTGATTATATAACAAACACTGCAAATATCCAAACTATGCCAGGCAGTCACGTTTAATGGGGTATCCTTTCATGACCACCTGCAATACTTCTTTCCTGTCTAAAGACTATTAAATAAAAGACTTTCAATTTAATGTGTTTGAGTTAAACCTTTAGACAACTGCTGAACTTTATAGGATCATATTCTTTTGCATATCCTTTCTCCAGTCTTCTGGTAAAAACACTTACAGGCTGCACGCTGTGACCTTTGCCTTATGAATGGCAGTCTCCTTTAGTTGCAGGGCATTCTGTGTGCAGGTTATAACCAGGTCATGATCGTGGCTCTGGTGGGCAAAGCGAGCAAGCTGAGACCCACACATACAACTCCACCACTGGATCAGACCACTTGCAGTCAGATGCCATTTGCGCCAGCTGAGAGACAAACAGAAACAGAGAGAGAAAAAAAAGACATGGAATTTTGGAAATAATGATATAGATAAAAAAGGTAGACTTATAGGAGGCATAATCGTCAAAAAGTTTTTAAAAAGGTTTAAACTGCATATCAAAACACAACTCAACAGCTTGAGAAGACATAGTTAGTGAGATATTGTAGATATAAAACTACAAGTTGAATGGCCATAGTTCTCTTACCGTTCCAAGACTAGGTATGGTGAACTCCATTAGTCTGGGATTACTATTACACAGCAGCATCTCCACTCCAACCAGCACACGGGACATGGCTACCACAGCCTCATCTTTACTCTAGGGGTGCCACACAGACATTTACTAGCTGACCTTACTGAATTAATTTTTTTTATGTTTAATGTCTCACCATATTTTGTTTTCACAGTCTGTCTATACTGAGCCCTTATGCAGAGCAACGTTTGTGCTGGTCTTTCTTTGTGAATATTCACAAACATTAGCAATATTCATGCAGCACTACAAATGATGCTCAGCAAAGCAGACTGATCTACTGTAACGTTAAGATGTTGCTGTCAAATGAATTCCAAACACTGAAACTATACACATGCTGAGGGCATTATTAAATTCTGTTTAATAATTCAATTGCTGTGTCTCATTTAAGAGGTGGGTGGAAGTAGGTTAGATTACTAGTCAATTATACAAGCTCAATTTAAACCATTCTCTGAGTCTGACTGATAAAAAACTCACTACATTATTTAAGAGGTTATTCGATATATACAGCACACTCAAATTAGTTTTACATAAACACGTGTAATACTGTAACTGAATAAAGCTATGCATGTACCTAACATTAACTTTAGTAATGAAACTGCAATATTTTGGCTCCTTCAGTTCAATTAACGAAGAGAAATGCGTCATCATGAGGACAAGGACCAAATGTCAAACACAATACACACAAAGAAAAAAACAAAAACATACACACACCTCATCGTCAGTGTCGAGTTTCTGTCCAATCTGCTGCTGCAGCAGGCGTTTGGTATTCACCCATGTGCTGATGAGCTGTTTCCTCACCATGATGGGCACCCTCTCTTCATTCCCATTGGACAGCCTCAGAGCATAGTCGCACATCTACAGCACAAACAAGATATCAGCATTCATCTATCCATCCATCCGTCCGTCCATCCATCCATTCAGAAATACATCCCTAAATACATCACTCCTCTCATTTATTTTATCCATCCATCACTTTAGAACTGCGTGCACACAGCCATTCATCCATCTTTCCTTCCATTCGCCTCTGCTGTGCGGCAGTATCAGCAGACCCACTGAGAGTCTCCATACTTTCAGACTCACTGCCTCTTATTCTCATAGCATCGAATTTTTCAGCACATATTTTCAAAAATTAGAAAGGAGGATTCTCTAAATCTACATGGAATGATACACAATTATGTCTATTAAAGCAGACATGGAAAGGGAAAAGCAATAAAGTAGTTGCTGATGCAATAAACTGTGAAATTGCATGGGGTGTTTGCACACGTAATTTCACTGGAATGCTGCTAGAGTGTTTGAATGTATAATTTCATTGGGGAAGTGCATCTTCCTTGATATGCATCTTCTGGGAGCTGAGGTAGGCATCACCGCACCTGGAGATCTGCCTCCAGGCTTTCACAAACCCAGTTAATTAAGATCTAATTAGGTCCAGCTTATTAACATCCTGAATCTAATTAATAGAACTCTAATTAATTTGATGTTTTGTATGGGTTCTGAGTAACATCTGCTAAGCTGAATTCAGTATTAAAACACTGAGCAAGGAACAAAGTCCTGTGCAAGGCTAAGCACCATATTCCTGTCCCACACACCTGAAGCTGTACAAGTTTTGGAGAACTTCCCTGTTCTACAGTGCATGTACTACAGCACACTTCAGCTGAGGTGCACTGGTGTGCTTTGTTCCAGTCTGGGAGAACCTGAACTCAGACAGATGGCTGATGAAGGCAGGACCTAAAGGGCCTATGATCTATTCAGAGCACACAAGGTTTTGCACTGGGCAGTCCTCCAGGTAAGCTCCCGTCACACTGTTACCTCCAACAACTTTGGAGCTAACAAAGTTAGTGTTTGCTCTGAATGAAACAACAATAAAATCAGACTTTGCAGCTCAGCTTGGCAAGGTACACAGCCTGAGGAGAACTGGACTGCATTATTATCTACAGAGTTAAAAGGAAATTCCTTTGATGAAAAAAATTCCGCATAATTAAATTATTAGGATATAAACAAGATTAAGTGAAATGCACCATTTTTTTTTAGATCAAACCAACTAGAAACCACTAGAAAAATATCACATTAAATAAATACAAATTGGCTGCCTTAGGCCTGATACATTGTTTCATGATAGTTTTGAGATAAGATTTTGGCCTAAAATATATATAATCAATTCATGGCATAGAGGTACATGCAGAGTGTTGTAAGGCATAATAGTGTCAAAAGAAAATGTATTTACCATTATTTTACCATTATCAACATTACATATTAAAACGTATAGGTGTTTGGATAGTAAATAAAATGACTATATTTTAGTTCTGACATCATAATCACTGGTTCCCATCACCACAATTGTAATAAGCTCCAAGCTTATTTCACATCAAACCACTCTCAATGACTTTGCTCACATCTTAATGACTGAATTCTGCAGAAATTTTGAAAAAAAAAAAAATCAGTGATTCACCTTTTAAGAGAAGGGCCATGAGAAGGGCCATGATAGTAAGAGAAGGGCCATGATAGTAAATCAGGTGACTACTCTCATGATATTATCTTGAAGATGTTTCACCAATTTGCTAAGGGCCTTCAGTGGCTCAAGTGAATGGTATTTAAATCTCTGCTAGAGATTAAGTTAAACCTGATGGTGATCAAGTTAAACGCTGATACACTTACAACAGAAATTGATCATTTTGCTCCTTCACCATGCCAAGTCTAGGACCACCATCACTAGCAGAGCAGTCCTTCATAGCTATGATGTCATTACAGTGTTACAGCAGTCTGGAGTTGTGACTTGGCACGAAGGATAAAGACGTTATGACAGCAATGTAAGCAGCTGATAGTTCAAGGATTTTACAGCTTGACAGAGATGGCCATCTTCACAGCTCTTTCAAACCAACAGTCATCTCCATTCAAAGCATGCACATTGTTGTCCATAAATAGTATGCCTTGGCCTCCTTCAAGGACTACAATACACAACTCAGTGACCTGTATGACTGAAAGCCTTTATAAGCAAGGGAAGGGGAGCTTCACTCACACAAGTAATCAACTCAACATTCCCCTCTCACCTCTAAAGCCTTCTTGATGTCCTGTACAGCAGCTGCCTCCAAAGTAAGGAAATGGGTAGAGCCTGATTTCTCTGAGACCTTTCCTCCACCTTTTTTTGCCTTGTCAGCCTGCTGCTGCATTCCACCTTTTCCACTATCTTGCTCCTGTTTGATCTGTCCAGATGTCTCACACCAAGGCTGGATGATACCCTGAGCCACAGCATCACACAACAAGACCAGAAGCACCACCTCCCTAGAGAGACATACTCAGTGCAAGAGACATACATAATAAAACAATTCTGAAAAAAAAGCTTAAATCAGGGGTTGAAGGCACTGCCTCACCCAGCATGGCCTGTCTGTCTGAGTAGCTCCACTAGTCGACTGAATGTGGCCAGGAGAGTGCTGTGTCCCCGCATGGCCAGCAAGTGGCTGTTATAGTTCCACAGGTACACAGCTGCGTTAGCCATGATCCACGACTCCTGAATTTCTGCCCCCAATTCAGCCCCTCGCAGGAAATTAGCTGTAGCATAGGCTGACAGCTCTCGAATCCAATCACTGTGGACAAAAAAGGCAGAAACACAAAGAATGAGACATAGAAGGAGAGACAGACAAAGAAAGAGAGAGAGGGAGAGAGAGAATGAGAACCGAAGAAACAATGATATGGGTTAGAGAGGAAGACAGTAATCCTCTAGTGTCCTCAGCTCAGGGCTGACGAGAGACAGGATGTGTTGTTTAACATAAGCAAAGGGCAAAACACAACATTAATAGGCACTTGATGCTGTTGACTATGCAATTAACAGTCTTATTTGAGAAGGTGTTTGGTGAGCTTTGTTTACCAAGCTGTGAGCCATGGGCTTTCAGGGACTATTGTTCCCCGTGGCTTATAATTTGAGAAAGTCATTAAATGCATGCTGTGGTTTGGGATAAAGCTGAGCTCTCACTGATTATCCTGTCTTTACAGGTTAGCTTGAGCATGAAGAGCTAAGCATATCAGGCTAAGCACTTCAACTTCCACAAGATAAAGTGGCTAGGAGACAAAAGTTTAGAATGAGGTCTAGAATGTGTTTGTGATTAAGTGTAGGCATGGTTGATAACCTAAAATAATTAGCATAATTGCGATTATCAGTTACATCACCCCCTCAACCCCCCGCCCCAAAAGCAATACAGTTGGACCACTGCAGCTACCAATTTTGTATTCCTTAGTCTATATGCTTTTTTTATATTAACTGTTGAATAAAAATTGACAAATATTAAAAGGATTATATGGCATGCAACCCCCCCCCCAGTTAGGGGTGGCTGTTGTCATTTTATTTTTGAATCTATGAAGAAGGCTGCAGCTGAATAAAAATTGTTTTATTGACCCCATGAGTACCTTGTCCAGTCTAGAGCCATGTCATTAATGGATTACTTTCCTAAAACAGTTTCTTAGTGGGGCATACTCTTTGGGGCACACTAGTGCTTCCACATTATCTTGGTACTGTTGGTCAATCTTCTGTAATCCTCTATGGCCAATTTTCATTTTAGAACACAGAGGAATGCTGGAAATTAAATTCACCTTACAAAAATGAAACTGTCCCAATATTCATAACGTAACATGACAGAAGACCAACTTTTCTTAGTGGGGCACACTCTTTGGGGCACACTAGTGCTTCAACATTATCTTGGTACTGTTGGTCAATCTTCTGTAAAGCCTCTATGGCCAGTTTTCATTTTAGAACACAGAGGAATGCTGGAAATTAATTTCACCTCACAAAAATGAAACTGTCCTTATATTCATAACGTAACATGACAGAAGACCAACGTAATTAAAATGTATTATTAGCACTTTCTTTAATCAAGAATATGACCCAAAATGGATTAACCTAAATAAGAGTCCCTCTTTATGTGGGCAGTTCATTTAAAGAGCTGAGGAATGGAGACTCTTGTTTTTGTACCTGTACAGAGCCCAGCGAGGATCATCCTCAGGTGGGCATGCTACTCCCTCAATGGGTAGAACAGGCGAGCCATTAAGTTCCACCCCCTCAGACCGAAGTTTGTGTATGGTTGCCTATGAGAAATAACAAAACACTGTAGTCATGTGCTCTGTGTAAAGAGCTGAGTAAAAGAATAGCAGTGGTAAGATGGTACAGAGAAAGAAACACATGTGACAAATTAAGGTTAGAATAAACTTTTTTTAAGGCAGTCAACAATCCTTGTTCTGCAGATCTGTCTTCCTATAATCATTCAACAACAATGGATTTCTATTAATCTCAAGATACTGTAAAGTCAAGCTGTACTCTAGCTCTATAATACTCAAGAGCCCCTATTAAAGTTCTTGCTGGAGAGCGTCTACATCTTCTAGACCCTTGTTCACACTGAGCTGGTGATGGGGAGCCATAGTCACTGTGGGCCAAGCAGACGGAACTGCTGAGAGCCTCCGGCACCAGGCTCTAACATACTGCGACAGAGGATCAAAGCGAGACAGGTCGATTAAGGAGCCGGGAGTACAATCCCTGCACTTCCGCCGCCTGGCACCCTCATCAAATTAGAGGGACGCCTTTTGAAAAAGCCGACCTCTCTAAAAACAAAGGAAACATATTCATGGAGAACAAAGAGATGGGCTGCTATCAAAGAGGAGCAGCAGAGACAGCCGTTTCTGCTTTTGTCAAGGTCATCGCTTTTCTTTTTTCTCTCAATTCTCCCGCTCTCACATCTCTGTTTGCTTCAAAGGGAAGTTAATGTCTCTGAAGACTTCATTTCGGGACAGAGCCCGGAGGTCCAGGGCAGTCTTAATAATGTCATCACAAACTTGTCAGCTACCATTCTTCAACTGAGACCTTTTTTCCCTGACATATTTCAGACTGTAATTTCTTTTCCTTTTTTATTTTTTAATTTGCAGGTGTGGTGTCCGTGATGACAGGTATAACATCTTATAGTTTATTAATATATAGACTAGGGGTGCACAAGTCCAGTCCTGGAAGGCCAATGTCCAGCACAGTTTGGTGATTTACCTACTCACACACACCTGATTGCATCTATCTGTTAATTGGCAGGTTTACTGGCTGTGTTTGAGTAGAGAAACTCCAAGCCGTGCTGGACACCGGCCCTCCAGGACTGGAGTTGTGCACCTAAATGACTCTAATTTTGTGCTGAAATTGTTTTCAGCTTATGTACCAAGCCTATAGATGGCCATATGGCAACTCCTGGGTGTGCCAAATAGATCCTGCCTTCAGTTGTTAGAGCAGGTAAATCAGGCTATGACTGTTAATGATCAGGTCTACCTCTGCACAAATGAAGTGAACCTCAGACAACAGACGCAGCAGATCTCCCTCCCCACCCTGATTCAGTCCTCCTGCTGCCACTCCATGGTCACTTTGCTTGCCTTCCACTGGCTTTACCTCATTCATCAGCTCACCTGGGACCAGGAGAAGAGACACATACATATTCAAATCAACTGGTGACAGAGAGCACAGAGGAACAAACTAATGACAATATAGTTTCAAAATGCTTAAAGTCATTTGTGAAATCTTGGTCTCCTCCAAACTCTTTACTTACAAGAAGTTAGACATTCACCTCATTGTCACTTACGTTTGTTTTTCCATCTACCATCATCATAGAGCAGACAGAACCGGCACGCTGTCCTGCACACATCCCATGCCTCCTGTTTCCGTGCAGCCTTCACCAGGGACGCCCATAACCTCATCCTTCCACATAAACATACCACCAGAATGCATACAATGGAAGTTACAAAAAACAAGAAGTACTACTCTTCTCCACTATTGGTGGAAAATGAGAACACACACCAAGAACAAACATTTTTAGTTAGTTAGTTTGTTTGGGTTATAGTAAATAATAGATATTTCCTAGAGGCTGGCTATCCTTAATGGTATGTTCTCTCTCTCTCTCTCTAGCTTTCTGAGCAGGACTGCTCAACGGTTCTGGCTATCTTAATGAGGTCCAAGAGGATTCCAATTCATTACACAATGCTGCCTCACACATCCTTGACAATTCATGACAACTCTGTGCCAGTCCTGTGCGGTTCCGAGTGAAGAACACAGATACATTCACACATAACATTGGGATGTCTTGGGAAGTGAGTGGTGAACGGGCATAGCTCCCCATACCTCTCTCGATCATCTGCGCCTCTCTCCAGGCTGGCTAGATGACCTTCTATCCTTTGCAGACAAGTCATGTGTTGCTGGGCCTTGGCAGCAAGCTGCTCCAAATGGCCCTGGCCCTGGGGGCTGCTGCCTGAAACTGAACAACAAACACAGCACGCTACAGCAAAGAGCTCCACCTGATTCAGAAGGCAACAAAGTAACTCAGCATCACCTAAATGCTAATATCAATACCAAAAGTTTTTGGATCAACAGCATGTCTCACATGCTTTCATTTAATGCATCATTTCACATACGCTGGTCAGCACCTTGAGAGGTGACTCTCCATTAAATAAAGGGGTAGGTTATGTAATAGCATCTATAATATCCAGTAGCCTTTTATGTTATAGCAATTAAATACCAAATAAATTATTGTGATCACCAATCTTTTTTTGTTTTTTAGTTCATTGGCTCAATTTGGCCAAACTGACGACTAACTAGCTTTTTTAACTGTCAAAACTCAATAGCTCCCAACTAATGACAGATACAGCTCAAGCTCAAATAAACAAACATTACTCACCACTGCCCTCTAAACATTATAGTACCAAGTGAGAAGATAGAACTTGTTATTTTTCTAAGACCCATAATTGTCAGGCCTAGATCATTTCTCATCACAAGCCTCATTACAAAGTATGTGTTCAGATACACAATCAGGCCTGTTTGTTGTTTTTTATGATAGGATACATAGTGCTCAGCTTTCATGACATACTCTGGTAAAAAATAACGACCTTTTATTATCTGACATATTCTGTAGCAGCTTACTGACTTAGAAACAGCAACATTCCAGCCTATGTTTGAACAAGTCTTTATCAATATAAAGTTGCTCGGTCTAACAGCTTTCCTAGCCACAATTTATTCATGTCCTAACAGGTCTATAAATGTGAATGGAAACATTAAAATACTGGCTCTGCTCAGAGTGAACCAAATTGTTTCCTGTTCTATTTCTACACCAAAGAGCTCCACCTGATTCTTAGAAAACAACAAAGTAACTTGGCATCAGCTAAATGCCAATTTCTTGTGTTAAATGCCAATTACACAACTGTGACCATCCATCCCTAATGCTGATTTAATTCATCACAGCAAGCAAAAGGAAAAGTGAGGTCAAAATTATCATATGCTGCATGTTACATCACTGCATGGGCCATTTCATGCACAGCCCGAACAAAGCACAGCAATGAGCTAAGTCTTGGTGGTTTAGTTTGAATAATACTAAGAATGAGAGGACCCTGTACTCTTCTGATCCCACCTCTAAGTGTAACACCACTACACCATAACCACTGAAACATCCCCACTCATAATTTATTCATTTCCCTTCACATGTACATACACACTGTCCCTCAGGGTCAGCACCATTGTTGCTCTGAGTTCAAACACCTTTTTTGCCTGTCTCTGTGGTTCTTGAATAATGGAGTGAATTCCGGCTGAGGTTTGGAGGCTCTGACCCCCACAAGACACACACACACACACACACATGCTCACCCACATACACTCTCACATAAATTGCATCACATCACTGTCAGACACAGAATGAGAGAAGCTCTTCCTATGGTTAATAAGCTTCAGGGAGCTGTGGTGTTCTTAAAGAGTAAGAGAGCAGAAGAGAACAGAGATCAAACGAGACCGAGACCAGAGACATATATCTGTCTCTCAGAAGGAATGTGGAAAGAGGAAATACCAATGGCAAAGTGACTAGTGCCCAACAAATATCTAGACTTCTTTTAGCTTTTAGCATCTGTCCGGAATCTGCATCATTGACATGTTGATATGTGTACTAACATTTACAGAAATTCTAGCACCAAAAGAAAGATGACCGCCAAACATTTTGATTTAAAACACCTTTTACTGCACTGTCTGCATCCAGGACCATCTGGAAGGAGTTAGGTGCCAGAGCAATTCCAGCAGTAACCAGCATTGGGCGCCACTTCTTTGCTGGCTCACAGCCACTCCCCTCTTTTGCCTGTAAAATACAGACACTGAATGAAGAACCTATAAATATTAAGAAATTTTTCCAACACAAAAGGCCCTCTGATTATAACAGTATGTCTCTGTGCTCCCTGACTACATCTCTGCATCTCTATGCTCAAACCATATGACTAAGGCAGTAGCTAAAATTTTGTAGTGTTTAGGTCAGACCTGCTGGATAAGCATGGCAGCTTGGTCCTCTGGCCGTGTGGGAGTAGCGTAGATGCTAGTGTGCAGCTGAAGGAGATGCAAGGAGGAGGACAGATGCTGCTGGTACTGGCCGTTCTCATCCAGACCCAGTGCTGTATGGAGGTGTTTTAATGCAAGCTCCAGCCTCTGCTCTTCCTCTTCTATAGCTGCCAGCTCAGCATGGACCTGACACCGCATGTTCAACAACATGCTGTATACACATGGGGTACACATTCATTTACCTCCAAACTCCCAAATGTCTCTGGATCAACAGCATATCTCATCATCTGCTTTCATTTAATGCAAGACTTTATGCACAATGTGCAGCATCTCAAGAGTTGATGATCAGTGACTGCGGGAGGTACGTATAGTTATATTATAACAAATGTATATGTTTACAAAACAAAACTTACATGGGGAAAAAAAGTATTGAGATAGTAATATATTTGTATATGTATGAAAGTATCATGTATATGTATTAATATCAATCTTGCGAAAAAGAAAATATTCTCGTGCAAATTGCACCTGGTATTGTTATAAAAGATAATGCCAGATTTCACGCAAGTAGCAAGTTCTCAGGCCAACATTACTGAACAACACTAAAACTGAAAAAACTACAGAGCCCTAGCAAAGACCTTAAATATTCCTGTCAGTACATGTGGTTCAGTATTATGCGAGTGGAAAATTTCACGGCACCAAAACTAGTCATCCCTTGACCGGAGCACCATGCAAGATTTCACAACACAGAAGGTAAGAGAGAAGCCAGCAGTCACTCGAAAAGAGCTGAAGGACAACCTGAAAGCAGCAATAAGCAACAAACTGCACCACAATCATCTCTGTTCAAACACCCCACACAAAATTCCTTTGCACAAGCATTTACAAATCAGAACTATTTTGGAAAAATGTACTCTGATCAGAAGAAACAAAAACTGAACTGTGGCAATAATTCAGCTTATCATGGTTGGCGAATTAAAGGTTGTGCATATGATCCCAAGAACATGATACTCAGCATAAAGTGGGAGCATAATGATATGGGGCTACAAAAATAAAAGTGTCTGAATACTTTTTTCTCCTCACTTTAATCAGTCCTGTTCCCTGCTTTTTGGTTATCATGATGGCAGACAATGCTATGCTATCATAACAACCTTTGGTAAATAATTACAGACTCTTATAATCTGATAGCTTTATTTGGCTTCAGAAACAGTAAAATATGAATATGTTATCAACATAAGCACAGCTACCCGGGTCTAATTGCCTATTCACTAGTCACTACTTAATTAGAATAGGCCTACATATAGCCTAACAACTAGTTTTTCACTTTATTCTAACTGGTCAAAGAACGTTGTGTTGGGAGAAAACAGAAATGTTAAAATATTGGATTTGCTCAGAATGAACCGATTTGCTTTCTATTCCATTTCTGCGCCCTGCTTTTGAGTCCAAATTCATTAGTTCTGCAGAACATCTGCCTAGCTCTGTGTTCTGCATGCAACAGAGTGTAGCAGTTTTCTTCACAGCTCCAATGGAAAACTATCAATGGAGGGAAAAAAGCTGGAAGAACTGGGAAACACACTTTACTCAGATTTAAATAACAAATACATAAACACGTGCACACCTGTTAATATCCTCCAGCGCATGTGCAAGAGTAAGCAGAGGTCTTTTGATGCTCCTCCGAAGGTTGTTTTGGAGCAGAGGCAGACAGCTGTTCCACAAAGAAGCACACACACACTGCGTCACGTGACCATCTCCCTCTTTCATTGCCCTCTGGAGCAATGCATCCAATCGGCCAACAATAGCTAGTCGGGCCTGAGAACAAAAAATACAGCAAAGCTCAACAGAGCTCATACATACTGCTTACTGTAGAACAGCAGCCTAACTAACATGAAACTCATTTGGTTTTCTGTACACACTCTTTAGCATACAGGCGTTCATTTTTCTATGACACATAACTGATTTTGCCTTCTGTTGGCAGCATGAAGCACCTAATATGGATTAACACCATCTGTAGCTCAGCTAAGTTTTTGTTAAAAGTACACTAGCCAAGTTTCAACACATAAATCAAGCAAACACATATTGGCACCTCCACACTGCTTTTGGTGTAGTCCTCAATGTGGCCATTCAGTTTCTTTAGAGCCAGCTCACACTCAACACACTCCATCATAATGCATTGGGCGACTGTCTGCATGGAAAAGAGAACATATGCAGAATTCTGACCTCTATATCACTAAAACAAGCTACAGCTTGGCTATTTGGCATATCTGAAAGAGCATGATGGTCAGTAAAGAGTAGTTAGTCCACTCACGGCAGCATCAGTGGCTTCTAGCTCCTTAAGGCAGTCTTCTGCTGTTCTGTGCTCTTTCAGCTGTAGAGAGAGGAAGGCCAACTCCAACAGGAGCTCAGTCCTGTCACAGAGCAGAAACCAAAGTTTATTTATTTGTATGAAAGCTATGACTATGCAGAGAGTAGCTGCAGCACACTAGATTCTCTGCTATAACGATACTGTATGTACACCAACACCTGCTTCTCTAGTAATGATACTGCATATATAAACCATCTGTTAGTTAAAGGTGCACTTGGGGCTGGGTGAGAGGAAAAGATCACATTGTTACCATGGTCACAACAAGCTTTTCTGATATTATCATGACTATACGGGTACAGACATCACGGGTATTTGAAGAAAAGTGACCACACACATACATTTCATTAAAAGAGATTTATTATACTCTGGCAGTAATGGTTTCTCATTATTGTCGGGAGCATAATTGGCCCCTTTCACACTATGAGCAGATAATTACATTTACAGTCTAACCAAAACAAATGCTGTCTGGTACAATGCTGCGACACATTTCTTACATAGGGACACCCCAGCTGCATAACTACAGGAGAATGCCTTCAATAGAGCAGGTTCCTCTGAGGCTTTAAATAGCTATCATAAGTAAGATTCACTGTTATTCAACAAAACATTAAAGATATACACAAGTTTAAAATCTATCAACTAAACTGCATTAAGAATATTGCAACAACAGTCTGACCTAGTACAGCACTGCAACCTCAGATTGAAACTCATTTGTTCATAGTGCTAGTAGCTAACGTCTAGGAGTAGCCAACTCAGTACAGTGAGACTGCAACCCTGTACTTTCAGAGAGTTAATTTAACTCATATACCGCCTTTCTCAAGCCCAGGGATACTTTCCAGAAATAACAAAAAATATAACCAACAATAAACAAAACAACTCAAAACTCACAGAGAGTTACTCGGCTAGCAGGGTGAAAAACTCCCCAGACTACTGTATAGAGTCACTTAATTGGCCCATAAAGAGTCCTTGGCTGCTGGGAAAGGTCTCTCTCTCTGCCTGGCGGAACTCGTAACTATGGTGCAACATCACACAGATGTAGGCCCTGGGAGGGTTGTTTTAAGATCTGTTGCATTGCATAAGTGGCCCGCCCGAGCTGCCTCATAGCTGTGATGTAGCATCACTCAAGTGGCCAGGCCAAGCAGCCTCGTAATGCTGACATAGCGAATTATCACTCATTCTCATTGATCTGTGCTTTCTGGCCCTCACTATCACCTCCTCATTCACAACATTTGAAATTGTATGTAAAAAACAAATTTCCTAAAATATTGTTATAAATACATGTAGCCACCTAATGTCAGCTACTCCCAGGTTAAGTTAACTTGATAGCAAATGTTGATTTACCTTAATGTTCAAAAATGTAACTTTAAAAGAACAATAGTGCTTCATTCTTTTTTTGTATTCAGTGTGTATATCACTGCCTAAGATTTACAAAACCAGCACAACTAGAAAACAAATACTAGTGAAATGCCTTACTGACAAGTTTTCAAATGGATGCATGCTAACCCGATGTGTAATTTGCTTTGTTTGTTCCTGTTATCGCCACTGTAGTGCAAAAGGGGCAGGTTAGCATGCATCGGGTTAGCATGCATAACTGGTTGCCCACCCCTAACCATAAACACCATAACGCAGCTACACAATGCCACTGGCCTACCTGTCAGTCAAAAGAATAGGGGAGTTTTCATCAAGATCAGGACTAGAACTGTGAGAGGCAGGTGACTGGGGCTGAGATGATTGAGTCAGCAAGAGGAAAATCTCCCTCAGTTCAGCAGACTCGTTTGTTCTTTCACTCACTTCAGCCATGCTGGGGACAACACAGACAGACAGTCTGAACAAATAATTGCACAATAAAACCTGCAGATATGTATATGACAGGGCACATTGCTGATACATTAATACTTAAGCACCACAAGATTTATGCATGAATCAGTAGTTTCCTCAAACTTTAATTTCAGGATGGATAACCAAGTCTTCTTTTCTTTTGCTCTGCTAAGCAAATTCATTTATATTTGGACAGCACAGGATCATGCACTCCATGGGCTCTTCTGAAGGGTAAAAAACTGGCCCACACAACTCACAAGACTTATTTACAGGCCTTGAGCAAAATCCCACTACAGCTTCAACAGATACAGTATGTCAATACAGCTGGGCCTTTTGATGTCAAATATAAAAACATCAGCACTAACTCAAATAAATTATATAAGAAACATCAAAGAAAGAGGTCCTTGCAAACATCTTGGGGCTAACAGAAATATTCAAATGTACAATAGACAATAAATGCAAAGTAGGCACTTTTTCTGTAGAGGCTTCCCAAAAAAATCTACAGTTTGGAAATAGTATCTGTACTAATATCACATATCCCCCTCAGTGCAATTACCCCCTTTGGAAAAGAAAACTGATTACATTATATAACGCGAGTCACAGCAAAACAGAAAAAGGACCACTGAATGCACAGAAAATATTCAACTTACTTTTTGAGCTTCTGCATCTTGTAGATGACAAGTAATTTGGGACTTGTTTTCTTCTGAGTTTTGGAGGCATCTATAAGGTTATGTCGTACCTGTGAATCATGTCAGAACATCCGCACACAACAACAATTTTAAAATCTGAAACATTCCTGGAAAATTGACACTTTGAAATATAAGAAAACAAAGAACAAATAACACTTTTGGCTTCTTTTGGATAATGGATTGCCAAGACCACAAGAGTGTGAAGGGGCTCAGCTGTTCAGGAAGCTTTTAATAAAGAGTGTCACTGACAGGACAGGAGAAAGAGCAAATGATTTACCTGTATGGAGAAAATGCGGGGATACATCTCAGGTTTATGGAGTTCTATAAAATCAGAGGTGACCTTGGCAAAAGCAGCTGCCTCCTTGTGTTTCCCAGCATCCACTAGGCATTCAACTAGGAGTCTGAACACAAAAGGAAGTTGAACTATTTGGAGTGACAGCTTTGACACATGCCACTAACATTCCTCAGCAGAAAACTGACTAGACACACTCTCAGAGAAAAAGGTATGAAACTGTCATGGGGCAGTACCACTCTTGTCACTGGGGTGATACCTCAAGGGTACATCTCAGTACCTTTAGTCAGGGAACATAATTGTACCATAATCCATTGAAATCGTACTTTCTAAGTTGTATTGACTCCACACATTATGTCTCATCTCCAGGCTTTTTATTTGACTGTTCTGTGTTAAACCAGGTTATGAAAAGATACAAATATATACTTTTCCACTGGTAAAAATGTACTTAAGGTGCACAATTAGGCCTTAAAACCACTGTTGTACCTTTGAGGGTATATTTACATTGTTCATACCTTGATGAACGAAAAATGTACCAGCACAGTACCTTTACTTCTATCAGTGTAATAAACATCTTTAACCAATACTAAAGAGGTTATTAAACTTTTGTAGTGTTGGCTACAGATGTTTCTGCTGGGGAAGCATCAATTTTTCAATTTTGGATTTATTTTTGATTTATTTATTTTAAATGTAAATGACACAGTATGTTCCTAAATCTCTCTATAACTGAACTTCTGCTAAACACATTCAGATTTAAAGTGCACATCTGTAAGCACCCACAGCATCAGTTCAGCCCGCCAAGCGTAGTCAGGCTCATGCACCACCTCCAGAGCACTGAGCACCTGCGTGAGTGAGGAGACCAGGTGCTGACGCTGGCCAGGCCGCAAGAACACACGCACAGTCTGAAAGTACAGAAGTGATGCGTTGAAGACCAGAAAATGGTATCTGCAAGACAGAGAGAGAAGAAGAAAGAAAGCCAGAGAGAAAGACAGACAAAGAGTGAGAGATAATGAGAGCAAGGAGAAAAAGAGAGAGAATGCAAGACAGAGTGAGGGAGAGTGAAAGAGAGGGATAGAGAAAGGAGAGATGTCAAGACAGGAATGGGAATAAAATATTCAAGATCTGTTTTCCCAAAAGATGTCACAGCGAGCATCACTTTGAAAACTTTCTAACAGTTAAGATTATCTTAACACAGCTGTGCTTTAGGGAAACCGAAACCAGTTCAATTATTCAGTGCTTTTTCTGTTGAAAGAATCACTGTCTGATTTTTCTGTACATCTCAATTTTCACCATGTGCTGACCTTGGATCTAGGTCTTCGCAAATGGCCTTGAAATGAGCCACAGGGGTGATGTGGATGCAAAGGGGAATCATCACACCAAAAAAGGGGATGTAGACTCTATTTGAGAGCTAATTTATCCACCAGGGAGCTCTGCACACATTAGCATGCTCCATATCCAACATATTTTTTGCTTTGGCAGTATGTGTGAACTTCCATACCAGACCGAAAGCAGTGATTAGTTATCCACCACTCATCACTATGCAACCGTAATATGCATGAACTGCTGAGCGTACTTGCTTCTAGTTCTTACTGGCATTCTGTAGCTGCAGTTATCCTGACGTAAAGTATTTAAGCAATGTTTGGTGAGAGAACATGTGTATCTGTACTAAGTGTAGTCTTGTCTCGGTCTTGGGGCTTGAACCAAGTTGTTCTACTCCCTCAACCAGCCCTTTGAGATCTCGCTCTCTCCCAAAATATATCTAGCTTATTTCAGATGATGCTTTTAAGCTGTAACAGACAGGACAGCATTTTTGTGAGACATTACAAGTGAAGCTGCACAACTTCAGTAACTTATTCAACATTGACTGTCATGTCAAAAAAGCACAGACTTGTCTCTCTTTGGTCAAGACAGGAGATGGAAAAGCACTGCTCCACTTTCCTGCTAACTGCACAGCCTACCTCGGGTTGTCTTTGGATATCTCTATAGCCTTCAGATAGTACATCACAGCCTTATCCATATCCTCCTGGAAATAGAACACAGACACAGACAAACAGTAGAAAAGGTACCATGCTGTATCTGTTGAAACACAAGAGAATAACAAAAATGTTGTAGCAACTTACAGTGCCTAATCACATGCACTAAGAAGGACTATGTCTTCATGATCTATGCGTGCTATATGTGTCACCATCACCCTCTATGACTCACGCACCTCACACTTATTCAGAAATGACTATAAGGCATGTAATGAATCCAGGTAACAGGACTACTCACCACAGTGCAGACAGAGGAAGGTGAGTTCAACTGAGCCTGACAGAAGTATGCACGGCAGAGAAACTGATTAGGGGGGGGTTTGCTCTCAAAATACATCATTAGGCAATCCTCTGTAATCTCCTTACAGCCCAGCTGAAAGCACAAGCACAGATGAATCAAAATTCACCTGCACCCAGATGATGAATATTTAGCCACTTTCTGAATCCAGTTTACACCACAGTGCCATCACTTTAATCTTCCTTGAGCATGTGATTGGGAGAGCAATGCCTGTATAAGCTTTCAATGCACCTAACATTTTTCTTTCTGCAGCATCTCCACTCAAACAAGGCTTGCTTCATTCAGTGAAGGCACTGCATTATTTTAACATTTAAAATACGATCCAGTGGGAAAATCATGACTCTAAAAAGCTCTCGCAGGGCAGCACTTTCAGACTTTTTCAGCTTTGCCCTGCATAGATTATGTAGCAGTGCTCAGTTTCAGACAGATATAAATTTCCACACAAGTGTCCCACAGTTTCTCAGGGAGCTGGAGGATGTGTTCCTAATGCAGCCCGGCTTTGGATTTAGGCTGGTTATTCAAAACCAGCACAACTTCTTATTAACAGCACCTTTGTCTTAAAGGTGAAATAAAAACTGAAACATTTCATGACAATTACAGCCATTTTAGAACTTTTTGGTTAACTTCTGGAAATGTTTAGAATTTTCTTGGCATGAATAACCAGTCAGAAGTACTAGCCTATACTGAACAAAATGAAAGAGCTATAATCTATGCAATCAATGACTGCAAAAATGTATGTTCTGACTTCATTAAAAAAAATGATTAAAAACCCTAAAGAAAGACATGATAACTGTGACCTAATTCACACTTTTATTCGCTCTTATGGCCCAAAGAGAGGATAAGTGTTGGCTCTTTGTATTATTACAGAACATTTGGCCATGACCATAGATAAGCAATGTGTACAGTAAAACTCATGTCAAAGAGATGTGGCAATCTAAAAAAGTGCAGCGACCAATTATCTTCGCTAGTGTTATCTCTCTGAAGCACAGCCTGATCCTGCTGTCACTCTGGCTGGGTGAAAGCACTGCATTATTGCAGTGGGGATGCAAAGCCCCCTCCCCACTCCATTCAATCCCTCTCCATGGCAGGCTGAGATGTTGCATGCATTTTGCAGATCCATGGAAAACCAAATTCAACGTCTCAGCAGCGTGCATGTAAAAGCAAGCTTATCCTCAGTGCCTGAGGTTTTTTCAAAAATGGCTTTCCCATAGAGAACGAGAGTGCGATGCTTTCATTTCGCCATTCAAATGTCACACATGTTCATAGAAGGCATGCGAGTGACACACAGCGATTACAGACAAAGATGACATACAAAATATACCACATAAACATTGCATATTTCCAGTTCATATAGTGCATCCTCACCTTCAACTGTGAACACACTGGCTACATCAACTATTGAGTGTGATGCACTATAAAGCCCTATTTCATGTTTGTTTGCCCAATTCTCTGAAATTCAACTGAGCTGTATACTGAATTCAATTAATCTATAGAGTAAGGCTTCTGCTGTCTACGATAAAGCTTTGAAGGAGCGTTCTCTGCATAACAGGCCACTTAATATATGGTTATTTAATGTTATGTCAGGTTAGCATAGAGAAATGAATACAGCCCATAGAGGAAAAAGAGCAAATCAAAAACTCTGAGAGTCATGCAGCTCATTTATCAGCGCCTGTAATCTTTGACACTTTTTGCTTATTTCCAAGCTACTATGATTTGAGGCTCACCCACCCGTGTGGCTAATTTGCCCGGGTTACGCCAGCCAAGCAATCATCCAGCTGCTAAGGCCACACAGCTCAACTAAATACTCAGGTTCTGCTTGACTCTCAAAAGCCCTACTTTGTTATGGGACATCTTGACACATACATGCATTTTTCTATTGAAATGTCTAAACCATTTTGCTTCCGTGTGAATAACAAATATGGATTTGACTGTGTATAAAGCTACCTGTCAGCAACAACTACAAGTATCATATGTCATGGCAAAGCAATATGAACTAAAGCGGATCTAATAACCCGAGCGCCTTGTTGTAACGTAGCTATATGAAAACATTTTCACACACCCCACAAACTGTAGACTGTACTGATGTTAACTACTTCCTTCAAGTCAAGTCAAGTTGTGGATGGAGCGGGACATTAAGTTAACAGTGTGTTTAAATTCTTACCCGTAAAGCTTGCTCTGCACACAACACACAGAGCTCAGGAAGGAAACATTTGGCATCTGACGTCGTTTTTCCTGAGACAACATCTTTAATTGCGGCATACGCTTTCTTCAGAGCTACAGGGTCTGCAAAACAGTGGCACTTTAGGCTGACACGTTTGTAGCTAGAATATGGCTGTACGCACTGGAGCTGGTCAGCTAACTAGGTTGCATAGTTAGGCTAACAGTTAACTTGCACTGCAGCTAAGTTACCATAAGTGACATGAGACATCATTACGTTAAATTTACGACCTAGAAATACAATTACTTGCAACTGTGGAGCCCAAACGATAACCTAGCTAGTATCTACTGTTACCGTTTTTCTCCTGTGTCTTTATCAAGCAGTGACGGATTTCAAGATCCATCTGTGCGACGCTTGGACAGTTTACTTCAAAAGTAAGAACAGCCTTCTGCCTTTATACTGAACTAACTGGTCTACAGTTTGGCAGACGTTAAAAAGCAAGCATGACTACCGCTTCCCAACCGAGAAGAAAACCAGCTAATAGCTATGATTCACTCTGGATAAATAAGCATAGCTAATTCAGCTAATCTAACGTTAACGTTTAAAAACTAGCCAGCCACTTTATATGCGCGTGCCTGTTGCTAAGGGAGATGTATCACAGCAACGGTAACGCTGAACTGGAGTGCTATAGTAGTATCCATCCGCAGAGCCGCAGCACTGCTACTTTAGCCCTCACACTTTCAGACCTGCGTTTTCAGCTCCCTGCGCCTCTGTTCAGGACATGCAGCCGCGCTTTAAGCTTTCATGAGTGCGGGAGTAACGGTGGATTGAACAAAAACATTATTATCTACCACCATTTCAAGAGAAACTATTTGTATTCATAGTAGCATTTTTGTTCTTTTCAGTACTGAAGTATATCTGGGTGCTGATTAACCGTGTGTTCACACAGCCAAGCTCTCGTTCCCCATAAACTTTATTTTATTCCATGATCACTAGGCTGGATCTCAAACGGTTCCCTACTTCCTATGTAGCGTACCCCGTAGGTCTTAGACTCTGGCACCCAAAGACTACATAATATGTATAACAAAAGACCATTTGAGATTCAGCCACATGTGCACAATTCCCTACAGGATATATACTGCACTATTTTTGTGTAGAAGTCTACATTTCATTATTCACATAGTGCACTATGTAGGGAGTAGAGAGGTATTTGGGGCTCAGCCATAGTGTTTGAGAGTTTCAAAAAGTTATGCACTGCCGTCCGTGCCCTCCATGTAATAAACACAGCGTGCGGTAGCTACTAAGCCCATAGACTATGTAGCATCATATCCTTCGCTTTGTACTGGGACACCTACACATTATACCCACAGGAGCTTTTATGACATCCCATTCTAAAACCATTGGCAATAATTTGGAGTTGTTCCCCTCTTTGCAGCTATAACAACTTCCCCTCTTATGAGAAGGCTTTCTACAAGGTTTTGGAGTGTGTCTGTGGGCATTTTTGCCCATTCATCCAGAAGAGCATTTGTGAGGTCAGACACTGATGTTGAACAAGAGGGCCTGGCAGTCTCTGTTCTAGTTCATTCCAAAGGTGTTTGATGGGGTTGAAGTCAGGGCTCTGTGTGGGCCAGTCAAATTCTTCCACACCAAACTCACCCAGCTATGCCCTTATGGACCTTGATTTGTGCACTGGGGCACAGTCATGCTGGAACATAAAAGGGCCATCCCCAAACTGTTTCCACAAAGGTGGATGCATACAATCTACCAAAATGTCTTGATATGCTGAAGCCTTAAGATTTCCCTTCACTGGAGCTAAGGGGCCTAGGCCAACCCCTGAAAAACAGCCCCATGGCATTATTCCTCTTCCACCATACTTCACACTCAGCACAGTGCAGTCAAGCAGGTGATGTTCTTCTGGCATTCGCCAAACCCAGACTCGTCCATCAGACTGCCAGATAGAAAAGCGTGATTCATCACTCCACAGAATGCATTTCCACTGATCCAGAGTCTAGTGGGGGCGTGCTTTACACCCCCTAGCAGGACAGAAATTTCACAAACTGACTTGTGGCAGAGATGGCATCTTATGACAGTGCCACATTTAAAGTAACTGAGCGACCCATTATACTGCCAATGTTTGTCTATTGAGACTGCAAGGCTATGTGCTTAATTTGTTAGCAATGGGTGTGGCTGAAACACCTGAACTCAGAAATTAGGAGGTGTGTCCCAAAACCTTTGTCAATATAGTGTATTTTTGTTTGTAGGCATATTTTCTATTTTTTTTTCTTTTAGTAGTTGCTAAATGTATCATGACTTTTACCATTTGCTGCAAAGGTTCTCTGTTATTCATCCCCCTTTAGAACAAAATTTGACAGTCATGCCTCTTAATCTCAAATTTCCCCAGATGTTTGTAGCTTGTTAATGGTAATGAGGTCTCAGTGCAAGTGCAAATATCACTAGTTGACTCTAGTAGCCTCATTAAATTATTTTTGAGCTCCAAAGACTCCAGGCACATTGTATTTTAATTCATAATTACAAGCAGAGAATGTCTGGGGCAAGAAAATTATTTGGCTATTCCATGTTCTGAGAGGTTTATATCATTATAGCAAATTAATCTGACAAGGACAAAAAATACAGAACTCAAAAAGCTTGAAAATATTAGGCCTACTGTAAACCTCAAAACATTTATATTCCAGGCCTATGCTTAGAATAAGATCTCTTTAAATCTTTTAACTGGTTTTGTGCAACTTTCAAGGCCAACACATTTCACGACACATTTCATGTTTACCCAGCCATGCTTCCTTGGCTTGTATTTTTCTGTCCGTTTGCAATGCTTTTTATTTAATTCTGTGCACTGCTGGGTTTTCTTGTGGGTGCAGTGTTGTGTAGTGGCGTGACAGCAGGTGGCCGTGATGTTGAGGTAATCTCTTTGTTTTTTGAAGGGCCTGTATGCCCACCAGACAGCCAGGGCTGCTTAGAACCTTACATGGTGAAAACATCCATCCAAATGCCTGTTTTAAAACATTTTGTTCTACATTTAATTAAAAGAAACTAAAAATCCAATAATGCAGACCATTAGGCCATATTTTATTACATGGGTAAAGGAAGTATTTTCTCCAGTCATCAGCTGAATGGAGCACAAAAGGTGACAAGCCCTTACCTTAAGTCTGCAAATAGCATTTGTTTGTCCCTACTGAACGAGTGCCAGTTTATTTCAGGCTTTTTCTGAGCTCTTTATGTTTTCCAGTGGAGTGAACAATGGCTATCACAGCTGGAAACTGCCTTTCCCCGAAGTTAAATAAGGTGAGTAACCTTAAAAGAGTGTTCTGTGAGTAACCTTAAAAGAGTGGTCTGTTGTAACCCCCTAGTAATCATGAAATAATGTGTTACAACAGCCTATGGATAGCAGCCTAAGCATTCCACTTCATAATGTAGGTCACAGCCTTAATCGTGTTAGCTGTCTTGGGCTTTCCTCATTTACTCCCCAAGATGAGAGCAGCAGATAAACGGAGTACTGTCATCCTCTTCAGCATAAAAGTCAATAGACTCCATCACACCCTGTCTGCGCGAGCAATATCTCTTGAGTCCCTGTTTGCCATGAGGTGATGAACAAAGATTAACTCATTCAGCTCAATGTCATTGCATTAATCGCATTAGCATCTGTGACAATGCCAAGGGATAGCCATGCGACATACTAGATTTGAAGCAACAAAATTTGGAAGAAAAAGAAGTTCGGTTAATAGACCTTATAGTGACAGACAAGGCTAAAAAAGACACTATCAAATAAACATTTAATTACTCTATTCAGGATTCACAGTGATGAAAGTTTTAAGGGAATCTTGCTATTATTTGAAGGGGTTAGTCCTGTTAGCAGTGTCAGTCTCAGATGCAATGGAAAGTGGATGTCCTGAAAAACTACACATACTGAGTCAGTGTAAGTCAAACTATACATCTTTCGCTGTACAATTGATCAATGAATGACCAAATAGTTGAATTAATATTAAAAAAAGAAACTGAGATAAAATATACTTTATACACCAGCTGTACATATATCCACCAAATTACGAATCTGGACTGCAAAACTGCATATTTATGAATTTGTTGCTGAACAGTTTTGCATTCCCTGAGACTGATGGAGCAGGAGGGATTGGAAGTCTTTCCCTCCTTCTCTCTCTCTTCCTCTGTCTCTCTGATGTAGAAATTCCCTCTACACAGTTCTGCCTGAGATGTTAAATGTGCGAGATTAAATCAATTATTGATCAGCTCCAACAAATCATCAATTATTTACTGCCATGCTGTACAAAGTATATTTGTGTATGCATACAAACAAATGACACACACACACACACACCCATATGTGTTACAGATTGGTGTTGTAAGGGCAAGCTATCTTCATTTTTAGGACATTTCCTTAAAAACATAGTCACAATCCATATTAGAGGTTAGAAGAAGGAAAAGAAACAGTTTATTTAGTTCAGAACCAGAGACCTATTTTACATAAGAGAAGCAGAAGATACTATGAAATATAAAAATGCAATTACATTTGAATAATTATATTTAAGCCTTCACGAGGAGCAAAATAAAGAAAAGAACTACATGCAGTTAGCATAACTAGTCACAGGTGTAAACAGTAAGGGCAAGTAGAAGCAATATTGGGGACATGGGGATCAGAGAGAGTAACTTGTAATGGAACTTACATTTGTGTATATAATTAGTGAATTCAGCTACTTTAAGGTGCACCAGCTGCTGACACGGGTGTTCAACTGCACACACAGAGCTTGTATAATCTCCATTGAAAAGCATGGCCAATAGAATGGGGCACTCTGGATCAGTCACATGAGTCTAAGGTCACTACGTTCAATGCCAGTGTTGGCTGGAGGGGTATAAAGTTCCACAGCATTGGGCTCTGGAGTAGTAGAACTCTGCATTCTCTGGAGTGATGGAGATTAATATAATGGAGGGCTGGGGATTAATATAAAGTTTTCAAAATTCTAAAACATTTTGTTATTAATTTCCAGGTTCAAAGGAAAAAAAAACAACACATTTTTAATGTGGTCCCAGACTTTTAAACCCCACTGATGCCCCAGAAACACCTGGAATTACCTTACTTCCGTTTTAAGCTAAGAATGTTTTGTTCTTCTCCTGTAAGATCCCATTTTGGAGATCCAAAGTTTTTCACCACAGCAAAATATATAAAATATGTTAAATATATAAAAAGTTGTTGAAACTCAGTTGAAAAGTTTTGTTACATCCTTAAAAGCTTCAGAATGCTCCAGCATGATATTGAGAATGCTTCTATTTTCAAGCAGTCTCCTCCATTAATATCCCACAGACTTGGCCAAAACATCAAAGGCGTCCTAGTTAGAAGTGAAATAAAAGGTTTATCAAGGATTAATGGAGATGTGTATGTAGTAATTTATTATCCAAGCCACTAAAACTTTGCATCACTGCAAACAAAAGATATGCAAAATGAAGCTTGGCTGATCATTTTGTTAAGCACCTTTGAAGCAACAGCTTTAAATATCTTGACGTTTCAGTATCATCTGCTTCACTTCCTACAACTTCGCTTGCTCAGCTGATGAAGGACTCCTGGCCGAAACGTCCTGTTTCTCAAG